ACGGGAGCCTATCTAGAACAGTGAATAAAGGTTCCTTATTTCCTATAGCCTCACCTGCATTTGTTATTGATTTATTGACGATAGCAATTCTCTCTGGTGTAAAAAAGAATCTCAGTGTTGTTTGCATTTCTCTAATGCCCAGAAATATTGAACATCTTTTCATGTATTTATTTGCCATTAAAAATTAACTATTTATAAATTTTATACATATATATATGTAATATGTAACTACAAAATATAGTCAGTCCACAAAATCAATGTGTTCTGCATCCACAGATTCAACCAACTACAGATGAAAAATATTTGATAAAAATTTTCAAAATGTTCTGGAAAGTAAAATGTGTGATAGCTGACTTCTATACTGATTCCATCGCAGTACAGTGATGTGTGGACACCTCCGCCCTCTCACAGGCCTTCAGCATCTGTCCACATTCACATGGTCTTTGTGTATCTCCTGACGTGTTTGTGTCTTCACTATCTTTGACGCCTACAACAACTGCGTTTGGTTTGCGCTAAATATGCATAGATCTTTTTATTGTTATTTCTTAATACAATCTAGTCACTTTGTGTAGAATGCTCACTGTATTAAGTATTAAAATGATCTAGAGATGACTCAAAACTATACAGAAGGATGTGCATAAGTTATATGCAAATACCATGCCATCTGACATCAGAGAATTGTAAGTGGTATTTTTCCAATTGCTATTTGTTGCTATGGATTTTGATACCTGCAGGGGCATCTGGAACTGATGCCCCCTACATAGTGAAAAACTACTGTACTCAAAGACCTCAATCTTCTCTAATGAACCACAAGGAAATCTCGCGGAGCTTGTCCCTGAGGGGACAATGGTCTTTGTTATACTGTTCCTCAAACTATCTCTCCTTCGCTCTGAAGAAGCCTATTTCCTCCAGTCAAGGGCTTTTATGTTTTACTAACTGCTAGATCAGAGGGCCTAACAGTGCCTTGTTCAATAAAGCTGAAGGATGGAGGGATAAATATTTGGGAGGACAGATATGCAGGTAGCCATGGAAGTGTCTGGAGTCCCAGTAGCAGAGGGACTGTAGTCACAGGCCACCGTAGTCCTTGTTCTCTGCTCTCAAATACACTGGCCCCATTTTGTGTCCTGGGGAAGCAGAAAAGCTCCAGTATTATTAGAAGCCTTCAGGAAGCTGTGCACAGTATCCCACTTCTCTGACTTTTTGTCACCCCAAGAAAGGTCTGTGACTTCCACCTTCCACAATTTTCTGCTCTATGCTGCTGTTCTGTGATGTAATGGTCCCTTCAGGGAACTGGCTGATGGGACCAAACCCTGTCAGCTACCTCATTAATGCTGAAGCATTTTTGACATCCCCACAACAAAGAGGAACCTGTTCTATGATAAATATTTGGTGGAAGGCATTAATTGAAACTGAGTTTCTCCTGCCAGATCTTTACATCTGTTCTCATGCATTTTCTTCATTTAGGAAACCAAACTCCACCCTTTCCAGGGTGAAAGAAAGGGGATCTAATCAATGCAGGCTAATGAAAGATGCAGCCACTCTGGAAATGTCTTTGTATCCACCTGATCCTACACACCACCCTGGGGGACAGTGAGCTGAACAAAATGAGAAATATGATAGAATCCTAAAGACAGAGAAGAAAAAAGGCTTCCTTGATTTCAAGGAGTTGCTTAATTCCTAACCAAAACTTTGACCAACTCAATGATCTGCAGCTCAAGCATCACATAGAAAATACTGGCTCTGATTCTGTTTGGAGCAGTCAGCATGAAATGTAATGAAATTCAAAACAGACAGACTACACATGCTCCAGAGGGAAGTCATTAATACCCATGAATAATGATAAAGCAAAATACCATCTGCCAAGATAATGTGGCAAGTCTTTTTGAAATTCCAATTAGCCTATAAACCAGAAACAGGGGGCAAATGTGCTCCCCCTGCCATGGGAGACCATGTGTCCTCGGTGTCTCCATTGCTATATATGTAAACTAAAATGTGGGTGATAGAAACATTACTCATGTATGAATATATTTTGGAGATTACATTCATTATTCTTTAGGACACAGGTGCTATTCATGTAACCAGGTGGAACAGCGTGTTACCAGTGGCTAATGAAGGCCACATATGTATTTTTACACATATTTTAATTACGGGGGTGAAAAAGCTGAGTCTTATAAATACAGTATATAGGTTTGGCTCTAACAATGCCATTAGAGTTCATCTTTACATGTCAGAGATAATGAAGCATTTTTATTGCTGTTATCCTAGGGAAAATTACCTGGTTATGATAGATTCAAATATTCTAAGTCATTTTCCTGAGCTGCGTTTCATGAAGTAAACCACTATTAAAATCATAATACACATTATGAGAACTACTGCATTATAGCCTGAGAATAAATTGTCCTGATTACAAATGTGTAGACTAGGTCTACAGCCTGATGAATCAATCACATGTATTTGGAAATATCAAAGAAGTATACAAGCCAGCCACTGATCACTGGCATTTCCCAGCCTCTCTTGCTTTCCCCAAGGTTTCTTGTAGTATAAATGACAGTAGGATCAGTAATTTTGGAGTTTCTAATCCTGTTGTATCCTTACTTGGCTATAAAATTTTTAGAAGTCACTTGTGTCATGCAACTTGCTTTCCTCACCTATAAAATGTTTGTCATTACGAGAATAACCAATGATTAAAACCTATTGTAAGAATCTGAAAAAGTGTGAGAACTTTCCAAAAAGTTTTAAAATTCTCCAATAAGTCACTTTCATTTTATCATGACTAAATAAAGTAAGCTGAGTTATCTGCACTGTATTTAGAAGTAGAATTAAACACTTTTACAAAGAGGACAAAATGATCTCCCCAGACAGTAGGCAGCTATTGTTTCTCAGCAGGACTATTGTTCTCAGTGACCTGGCTCTTTCCCCTGGAGCCAGTGTCCACCTTACAGCTGAGTTTCTAAGACATATGCTTTGAGCCATAGACTTTTGGAATCTAAGAAATATGGAATTATATTGGAAGGGGATGCTGTCTTCCAATTAACAACATAATTTCCATTGTCTGTGGGTTGAAAATAACATGAGTTGCATCATTTTTTAAAAATATCCTAGTCACTGGCTTCAGCTCCATCAGAACACAAAGACCATATATTCTCACACTTACCCCAGCACATCTCTTCCCATCCTCTTTTGAAGATTATGGCTCCTGACAACACAAGGTACAGGACAGCAGGAAACTAGTCTGCGAAGTCAGTGATTCATGTGCAGACAGCATTTACTGTGCAGTCGCACACGATGACTTGAACTCAATATCAGTTTACTTCTGCCCACATTTGGGCCAAGCTACTTTATTTGTGGGAATCTATTGAAACAAAACACTGCTATTTGTGCACAAGGATGTATCGCAAGGATGTACACAGAGTCATTTTTATAGCACAGATTTAGAAACTATGCACTTATTTTACAGGAAGGTGACCACAAATTATGGCACATTTATATCATGGAGTACCAGAAAGCTGATTTCAAAAAATGCAGACATACCTATATATACTTTTCACAGTAATGCTCTAAATTGTAGCATTAAAGAGAAAAAGCTATGTGGACTGTGGGTGACATAGCAATACAGGTTCAGCCGTGTAACAAACATACCATTCTGATAGGAAATATTGAGGATAGAGGAGGCTCGGTGGTGTTTCGGCAGCGAGCACATGGGAAATTTCTAACTTCTTCCCTACAACGAGTAACTGAAAGATACAGTGAATGCTTACATTTTAACAATATTTATTACAGTAAAAGACACAGTGTGAAGATCCAGTGGATAAGTGTGTTTGGGAGCATTCTGAGTATTCTTAGTTGGACTAATGGCAGTGTATCTTGCACTTCAATAAATTTTTAAAATTTTAACATTCACTGTATTTTATGACAGCCCTGCAATCAAATGATTATGGCAATTTCTGTCAGGTAAAAACATTATGGTGCCTCCTCACCCATGGTGTTCACCAGATCTGGCATTGTGCAGCTTCTGGCTCTTCCCCCAAATCAAAATGACTGTGAGAAGTAAACATTGTGAATCAGTTCAGGACACTGAGCAGCCAGGACAATGCAAGCAAAGACACTCATGAAAGAGGACTTCTACGACTGCTTCGAAAGAACCATGTGGTAATTATGTGCAAGCAAGGGGGGATATTTTGAGGGAGATTCATGGCAACATGTCCTTAACTGTAAAAATTTTTTTTGCCTTTTTGAGATAGGGTCTCATTATGCAGTTCAGGCTGGCCTTGAGCTCACTTTGTAACCCAGGCTGGTCTTGAACTCACAACAATCCTCCTGCCTCAGCTTCCCGAGTGCTGGAATTACAGGTGTGTGCCATTACACCCATATAATAATTTTTTACCAACTTAAACATTTATTGTATTTTTTAAATCACATCTCATATTTTGTTGTGAACCTAAAATTGTTTTAATTCTCTATTTTAAAAATAGCACATCACAAAACATTTCATAGAGTGCAATCTTGTTTAGGCAAAATATGAATCAAAAGTACACAGATATACACAGATGCATAGAAAAGGGACTGAAAAACTAATTTAAAAATATCAAATCATGTACTTTTGTCTCTAGGAAACAAGACAGCGACAGAGGAAAAGATACATTTGAAAAAAGGCTTCACTATTATATTCTATATGCTTATACACTGTTCAAATGTTGTACAGAGTAAATGCCAGTCTGTCTTCTTTATGTAGGAGAGGAAAACACCAGAAAATAAGAACAAGCAAACAAAAAGACGGAATCAAAGATGAGCCATGTGCCGATCATGTTGACATCAAATACTGCATCTGAAAACTAACTGGTTTGAATAACACCTTGAACCTTAAATTCTTCATTGGGTCATCCAAAGCAATAATACAGAAGTTAACTGAAATTTTGCTAAGAAAGCAAGTTGAACAGGATTGCTTTAACAGTTACAGTTAAACTAAAAACAAAAACCAAAAAAATGCTGGAACCTCAGCATAACTTTAAATTACATATATCATTTATTGAAATATAAAGATCTTCATTTACACGTTTCAAAATAAAAACAGGAACGGGGCATTTGGAATACATTTCATATGGGTAGAGCCTCCCTATCAAGTTAGTTTCTCTCACACATTCACCACACCACCGTTTTGGGAACATGTAAGTATTTTTCTCTTTATTATTTCTAAAATATAAATTTTGGACATTCAAAAGTGCAACAGTTAATGTGCCTGTGGGGAATATCACAGTTAAAAAAATATAAACAAAGGCAGTGATACAGCTTGTCATAAAGGTTTGGCAGTATTCTCCAAGTCTATATAGAAATACATATATACATATTGATGTATAACATCATTTTATCTTACGTCCCTCTTCACAAAAATAGGACCATTTTGTACAGATTGGCAGACCACATTGTAAGGATATCACTGATCATTTTAAAAGCCACAAATTGTGTTTCTTGGGCTAGCTTTGATTGTCATCATAAAAATAGAAAGTGGGAAGGATTAGCAAATTTTTTTCTGGGGACTTTACAGACGGCAAAAAAAAAAAAAAAGAGAGAGAGAGAGAAAGAAACAAATCTGGGAAACACAGTTTTAACAATGTAGTCTTTCATCATTTCAGGTGGGTGCACTGATAACGACTGGAAACCACCGGCCTCAGACTTCATCCAGTCTCACAGTATCATACAAGACTTAAAGTAGCATCAGAAGGCAAAGCACCAACAAAATAAGCCTGTGCGGGAGAGTGAGTGATAAATGGAATACTTGAGCTGTGATTCTAGAAACACAAATGTATTTCAAGTCTAATTGGTTCTATGGAACCAAATCAGGTTTTCATTTTTAATTGGCCAATCTGGCTCAGTCTTCACACTTGCTATGGAGAAGGGGGACAAGAAAGTTGGGGCTTGCATTGAGATTCCACTAGTAGGTACTCAAGGACCTCATTATTGCTTCTACATCTTCTAAGGCACCACCTGCTGGAAGCACATCAGTGATTGCAGTAATCACAGCCCATGTTTCATTCATACGGTGTCAGCAATTAAACACACTGCAAAGAATGCCAATGAACTCATACCAACCAGTTCGATGGTCTGGATGGATGTGACAATCTATCCTCCCACCTACACCCAAAATACCAGGAAAACTTTTCAGCCTTTTTCATAAAATATTGACCTGGCTATTCAGAGATTTGGCATGTGGAATTTGATTGTTTTTACACACGCCTTTTCCTGGGGGAAGATGAGTCCAAATCCCCCATGCAGTGGGAAACAGCATCTTTACTTCGTCTTGAATTTTGGAAGATGTGCCAAAAAAACAAATTCTAACTTTCTCAGCCTCAGCTAAGACTGGAAAGCTAAATTAAGGGTAGCAATTGCTATATATATGGTATTAAATGTCACTGACCTGAAGCCAAGGACTTTAATAGTTGGCTTCCTGCATGGTTGACTTCTAGTCCAGATCCAAATTTCAAATTGTTTTTCTTCCCCCATGGCAACCTCCTGTAACCTAAGCCAGTGTTTCTGAAAACTGGCTGATCAGAATAGCCAGGGTGTTTATAAAAATGAGATTCCTGTTTCTGTTAGACTTAATAATGCAGAATTTCTGGATTCTGCAGAATCTAGTGGTTCCCACTGCCAGTTCCACGTGGGAACTGAAAAGCCAGGCTGATGCACACGAAAAAACACCTTTGTGACCTCAGGGCTTCAAGCTCCTTCTCTTTAGGGTAAGAGATGAAAGAAAGGAGCTGACTTGAGGGCATCCCTCTGACTTTTAAGGTTCACAGATTTTAAAATGCATGTTGGGATCCACCAAAGGTATTCTTAGTCATAAAAAAAAGCTCTGTGAGTTCAGTCTTTTGGCTGATTCCTGTGATTTCCACTGGGTCACAGCAAAAGGATTTTGCCTTTATATCAAGGACATTTAGGATTCAGGGGTTTGTTTCTAATCCCATTACTTCAGAGGTCATTAACTGTTTTTAGTAGAAGGGATTAGGGAGCCTATATAATTAAAAACTCTGACTTCCTGGACAATGTTACTTACACTTTGCTCTCTATGTTGACTAAATTTAATCCACTAAAGCTATTGTGTTTTATAAAGAAACATATGTTATTTAAGGTAAATGCCAAAAACGATCAAACTTGTCACCTACTTAGTAAAGGGTTTTTTCTTTAAGTTGTGCTTTCTCTGTAGGGAGATCATGTTACATATTACACATTTAGCATTACTGATAACAGTAGTATTATTATAAATATAGGTTACAATATGAAAATGAGTCGTTGGGCTGCTAAAGGACCCAAATCTATTAAACAAAGTTGGTTAATTGTTATTTTTTTATCTCTTTAACACTAAGAAAAAAGTAAAATGTGATAGTACCAGTACCTTTTAAGGTTCAAAAGTGGTTTTGCATGCACTTCATAAGAAAATTCAACAGCAGCTGATACCAGGTTCGAAAAAAGAAGTACATGGATGGATTGAGTGGTCTCTTCAAAAGTCCAGAGAAGACGATTAATGCAAATCTAAACACATCCTTGGTTAGAGTTATTTACATAATTACAACGCTAGTGTTTGTTGCAGTACAAATTGTGCATGTGGAAATCTCACCAAAGCCCTTGAAACACAAAACTCATTTTTCTGTGGCCTATTATTCCCTGTCCTTCTATTTCCAAACTTCACAGGCCACTGAGATGTTACTGAAGCATTGCAAGAGGCAACACCGAAAAAGTTCATTTCAAAAGTCCCACTCGCTCATATCCAGAGGGCTCCCCGGGCCCACGGCTGGAAAGTCCCCGTCACCATCATTCAAGTCTCAACCTTTGCATTGCAATAAAGTGGTTTTCTTAAAGGGACCCACAGGTAGCTCCTGGAGTAGAAGGTGCCCACTGGATCTGCCAGTTACAGGAAGCTGTCCTCCACCAGGTCCGAGGAGTCTATGCCAATGTCATCCATCATGTCAATGTCCTCGATGGTCTCGTCCTCTCTCTTGATGAAAGTGGAACTGCTGGAGCCTGTCTCAATGGCGCTTTCTTCAGAGGTCTGAGAGCTGTCCAAAGGAGAGAAGGAAAGTTAAAACCCACGTACAGGTTGGCTGTCCTGCGGTGCCCTTCCAGGTGGCCACCAGGACAGATGGGTTCTTCCCACCATGGATTGTCTGGCGTTCAGCCTTGGGCTGTACGGGGTGGCAAGGCTGTCACTGAGAGGGACAGCTGCTCACAAGACTTTCAGCACAGGCTACTGGACAACCCAGCTGCATACCTCTCAGCTTTCCTTCCTTTCTGCCAAGTCTCTCATCTACACTTCCAGCAAGCTGGATTCTGCAGAATCTAGTAACAATGTCTACTTTTCCTATTCATGGAAGAGAAAATCAGCAATGCCTGATCAAAAAGCACAGAAAAGAAAATGCAAAAAAAAAAAAAAATGAACTCAATTGCACACTGTAGCCACACCCCTTTGGTCTCCCAAGAATCTCCTGAGTAGCCAAACTGTGTTCCCAGAGGCTTAAAGGACCAAGTGAAGGCTCTTTATTCTTTATTGAGGGAGAAGGGCAGTTCTTGGGTAAGACAGGCTTAGGTCTGGAATGGATTTCACACATGTTACTTAACCCCTTGGGCTTGAGTTTATTTCCTTGCTAATGAAACAGCATGCTAAGTTAACAACTATAAGACACATAATAAATGCCCCATAACACATAATAAATGCTCAGTAAATGCTTGCAATTATTAGTCTCCAAACTTGTATCTAAATTTGAATAAATCCTGGATATTAGATTATATCAGAAAATGGGAGAGTTGCTTTTGTTATTTTGGGCTTTTTTGAGAGAAGGTCATGCTGTGCTGTCCAGGTTGATCTTGAACTCATTATATACCCCAGGCTGGCTTACATGCACAATCTTTCTGCATCAGCCTTCTGAGTGCTGGGATTACAGGCATGTGCCATCATGCCCAGCTAGTTATTGATTTTCTTATGCAAGATCGTGATATTGTGGTCACACAGGAGAGAACTGTTTTTCTTAGGAAATCTGTACTGAAATACTAGGGGTAAAGTATCTTAGTGTTTCTTACTTTCAAATGACAAAAAACAAAATATGAGTTTAGTGTGAAATACGCAACACCAATTTCATATATATATATATTATGTATATGTGTGTATGTATGTATGTATATATATATATATGGCCAGATAAAGCAAATATAAAATGCTAGAAACTGGTAATGCTAAGCGTTATGTGTATTCTCGTAATATTCCTATACATTTTATGTTTTTCTCAAGAGCTTTTTGGAAAACAGTCTTCCCTAAAATCCAGCCTGTCATGATTCCCGTCTGTCCCCCGTTCTGTGACCTCTTGCTGTCTTATCCTTATGCTGCCTTGTATCACTCTCCATGCCTTTATGTGTATATTTTTGCTCCACACTGATTATTATCTGATGGGTAGGACCCGCTTTATTCTCAGCAGGAGACTGCTGCACCATGCAATTCACACAGACCATAAAGAGCAGTTGGTCAGTCCATGGGGGTGAAGCGGGAGAGACACAGACAGGGAGAGAGACACGGAGACAGGCAAGATTCTCACCCTCCAGTTGCTTGCAATTATTAGTGTTTCTGTCTGCCTGCCTGGCTTATTCTGACTCCTTTGTGCTGTATCTAGCCCCAGGCAGGGAACGGAGCCTGGCCAACTGGAAGCCTGCAGCAAACAGTCTTCTGCCACCCACCTCCAGACTCATGCAGCTGCGTAGGGTTCCTGAGATGTGAAGATCCCATGGCTGTGATCTTCCCTACACCTAAGGCTTCCCCTCACCTCCTCGCTTGCACCCTCCCCCACTTGTACCCTGACATCTCATTTAGAATCTCAGTCCATGTGACTGGTCTTGATGACTCCCTGGCCCTGATGCCCCTCTCTTTAGGAGCTGGACACTGTCCCTGGAGCCCTGGTACTTACTGAGGACCTGAGTCAATCCTTGGGTACTAAGCCTGAGTCAATCTTGGGTACTGTATCTATGGTCCTACTAGGAGGGATTCTGTGATAGGGACTGTTAGCTTCCTCCTTGGGGACAACTAACAGGTAGGTCAGGTCCCTTGGCTCTGGCCCTCTTGGCCTGGTGTTCTCATCTTTCTGTTGGTCTGTTCACAAGGACCAGGCAGATATGTGGGGACAGAGGAAGCTAACTTCCACTGAGACTAGGCCAGATCACCTTCCCTGTTTGTCAATGTCATGGGAGATCCCAGGGTTGACAATCTGTTTTACGACTGGTTCCCAAGCCACAGGACCCATCTAGCAGCCCAGAACCTGGCTCTTCAGGGACTCAAACGTGGAACTCCTGAACCTTCTACAGCAAGACCCTGTGTCATCCTTCCATTACCAGCTGAGACCACCAGCTGAGCCTTAGGAGAAGGCTATTGACTAAGCTGACGAGCCTGTGTAAGCCCAAGGCCTTGAGCTTTGGGTCCACACGCACACACATGCACACACCCAGCCTTCCTTACACAGGCCACGGTCTCCTTGATGGAGTCATGAGGGACATACCATGCCCTGAACAAAGACAGAAGAGATGGGACTGATGATACGCAACACAGACCTTGAATAAACCTGCCCTCCTCCTTTCTCTCTTTGTCCTTTGTCGAGGAATATTCCCGATGACTTGCTTCAAAGGTTCTCTACTAGGGAAGCCTGATCCCCTGCCCCGCCACAGCCCCGGGAGCCAGAGGCATAGCAGACTCTTTCAGGAGGAGCTTTAGAAGCTGCAGAGGCTCCCAGAGTACAGTTTGCCACCCAGGAAAGCCTCCTTCTGGTAGCCAGAGCAGGGGTCCCCTCAAGCTGTGGGAGCAGGGGAGGCACAACCCAGGTGGCCGCCCATGTCTACCTGTGCCTGTTCCTCTTGCCCAGGTCTTCCTCCTCAGGCACAGGGTCGATGTCGGGCAGAGGGATGATGTAGCCACTGTCAGCGCTCAGTCTCTGCTCATCCAGGCCACCCTCCCAGTCTTTCAGCTTGTCTTCCTCATTTTTGTAGGAAACACCGATGTACGTGTTGTCTGAGTCCACGCGCATACGTGCCACAGCGGGATGGTCACTCTTCAGGAAGTCCAGGTGGATTTTCTCATAACTCTGTAAGCATTCATGTGACATATTTACTGACTGGGCTATAAAAATGAACACAGATACTCAGAAATTCACAATGAAGTCAGGTGTGGTGGCGCATGACTATAATCCAGCACCTGGGAGGCTACAAGTTCAAGGTGAGCCTGGGCTACACACAAGGAGTTCAAGGCCACTCTGAATTACATAATGAGACTCTGCCTCCAAAAACAAAAACAAAAAAACCTTCAAAAACAGAAATCATGATGACTCAACTGTATGGGTTTCCAGATGACGTCAGAGACAGGTAGGGTTTACACAACTGCAAGAGTCCAACATCAACCATCCCCAGAGGCGGGGACATGAAAGGACTGCCAGGGGCACAGATCTGCCAGTAGGTCTTCCGATCAGGAGGCCTTTCCCAAGTCAGTACATTTACCCAGGTGCCTACACCCTTCCCTCACCCCAGGATGAGAATTGAGCCCTCTGTCCTACCACTGAGAGTCTCCAGGGCCCTCACAGGTCCCCATAGGAGGAGGCACAGGCTTCAGTGGGAACATAATTCCCAACTTGTTCCTCATCCCTAAATGTCAGGCAAGTCCAACCTTCCGTATAAAAACTCCATACTCAACAACAGTTTTAATCCTTCCCATCAACACATCTCCACCAATCAGAGCATTGCAGGTTAATGTCTTTCTGCTTCTCCTGCTGCATTTATGAGCAGCACAAGGCTAGTGAGAGCGTCAACAAACAACAAACTAAAGTATTTAACTTCTAGCTCAACTTATGGCAGGCTCCAGTATAAGCTCCTGCTGCTGCTGCTGCTACTGCTCCTCTTCCTCCTCCTTCTCCTCCTCCTCCTCCTGGAGAAGGAGGAAGAGAAGCAGTGAGATGAGAAGCCCACGCAGTGACTAATCTGAATCTAAGAGGCAAAATCTGTTAGACAAGTTCCCCCCGGTTTCCTTCCCAAGGCTTCAGCAAAAAGTTGTTTTTTTCATTCCCATCTACTGCCTGGCTCCGTGAAATTACATTTGTTCCTTTGAACAATGCTTCTTATGCCACAGAAAACCAACTGAAGCCACAGATAACAGCTGAGGCTGTCCCTTCTGGACAGCAGGTAAAAGCCAATTTCACGTGGATTTAAATGCATTCAAATTAGCGATTTAATGGCCATGGATGTCCTGAGACTTCTAACTGCACAGCAGATACGTGAACATCTGGAGGATAAAGTGCTTACAGGTGTCAAACACACAAGATGAAAGGGGAGCCCCAGGGAAGGAGAGGGCTTTCATTCATCGTTGCTACCAGGGACCCATGGAGCATACTGTGAGCCCCGGCCACAGAATCACAAAATCTATACACTGCTTTGAAAATGCTCCTTTCAGACATGATGAATAGACAGCACTGCTCAGGGGCATAACTACCAGCTCTCCTCCCTTTGCCCACCGCTGTAAGACGCCCAGACAAACCTTTTTATACTGTCCAGGCAGCAGGGTCTCCACTATCTCACTCAGGTGGTAAAAAGAGGGTCTCTTCTCGGGTTCACTGTTCCAGCACTGCATCATGATGTCATAGCTAGAAAGGCACAGGCTCAGAGTGGGCACAAGGAACGTCTGTGGGCATTCCACCCCACAGACCACAGGGCGGGGACATGGCCCACGGGTGGGGAGGGAGCTCACACTTCACTGGTGGCGTGGTCAGGCTTGGCCATCCGGTACCCGCTCTTGATCTTGTTGTAGAATGTAGAATCTACCATCATGCCAGGGTAGGGCGTGCCACCTAAGAGCAAGGAAGGCAAGCATTGTGATAAAGGCACCACACACTGCGGGACACTTGGGGTGATGGCATGTTAGGGATCTCTGCAACCCTGAAGTCCTGACAGTTTGGTCTTTCAGGGAAACATACTTTCCTGGACCTCAAAGGCCTGCTCAAATCTTAAATTTAACTAGAACTCTAGGTTGGCCAAGTCCAAACACCTGATGTAAAAGTTATGCATCTTTAGAAAAAAATACTAAAGTGTTTTGAAATTTCGTTGCAGTTTTTTTCTTCTTCTTTTTTCTTCCATTGTATCCTTGCATAAAATTTCAAGGATTTGAAAAACAAGTATATAAAATAAATAAAAATAAAAACAAATACTTAGCCTTAAAAAAAAAAGAAAAAATACTAAAGTATTTTTCAGTGTTTTCTGGCTACTGCAGCTACATATACAAGCAAGCTGGAAAAACAAGGAGGAATTTTGAATCGAAGGCAGGAAAGTCATTCTCCCCAGTAACGTTCAAAGTGATTACAGTGAAAGTCAAAGTTGGGGCTTGCATTGCCTAGAAATTCTCTTTTTTTCAAGGAGTCTGAGACACAGTAAGCCCCAAACTGGAGTGATGCAGGGTGATCCTCAGGGAAAGAGGAGTAGGAGACTAGGGAGGGAAGACACACTTTACTTTCATATCAAAATAACAGATACATGGGGCTGGGGATTTAGCTCAGCAGCATAAGCGCCTGCCTTGGAAGCAGGCAGTCGTGAGTTCGATCCCCGGTACCAGTAAAAAGAAAAAATAAATAAATAAATAACAGATACATTCATGAAATGGTTCATGCTTTTACGGCTGAAAGCAGGTCCTGTAGAATTTCCTCTCTGACAATCTCCAAAGCTCATCAGGACTCCTTTCTGGTGTCCCAGGGCTTGCACTGCAGTTTTAAGCCAGCAGCACATGACTCACATCTAAGACTGAGTTTTCTCTCCCTCAAGAACCAGGGAGGTCAGGGTCTTTCCTTACCCTTCTCTTAGGGCATCCACTGGCCAGCCAAATGTCTGGAAGTTTCTCTTCTCCAGAATAATGACCACACTGCCGGTCCTCCCTGGGTGCAGAGAGGCAGCTCCACTGGGGAACCATTTAAGTCAAAGGCCAAAATGAAAAGGCAGCCAGCAGGTAGATTCCTCAGCACACTTCCAGAGAATGAGAATCACTCTGGCATGGCCCAGAAGAGATGCACAGAGGCCTGGGTGGTGGGGGTACAGCCTCCAACACCTATCTCAGTTTGCACAAGTGTGCAGCAGACATAGCAGAGGCCAATGGGTAGGTGAAGCAGTTGCAGTTTGCCTGATCACACAGCTTAACAGAGCGCATATCCTGAGCGGACAAACACATTTCCCTTCCAGGCTGTTCCAGAACTGTCCAAAGAAGAAGAGGGGTCAGGCACATACCAAGAGAGAAGATCTCCCAGAGCAGAATGCCGTAAGACCAGACGTCACTCAGGGTGGTGTAGAGGTTGTCGAAGATGCTCTCAGGAGCCATCCACTTCACAGGCAAGAAAGTCTGCAGGGAAGGAACGAGCAAATTAACCTCCAGCCTACGCAAGAATGATCTGCGGTAGCAGAAATGGGAAGGGGTCCTCCTTGGGCTAAGAATAACTGATGATCTTATTCCATAGAATGTATTTTGTGCACAATTTGTTCACAAATTGTTGCTCTCTCAGTATCTAGTGGCTCTTCTCTTCTTCCCCCCAGGACTCAGATTGAACCCAGGACCTTTGCACTAAGCTACACCTCCTTTCTATTTTTAGTCAAGGTCTCACTAAGTCACTGAATTGCACAGGATGGACTTGAACTTGTAATCCTCTTGTCTCGGCCTCCCAGAATGCAGAGATTACAGGCCCAGCTACCCAGTGGATCCTTAATACTTACAAATGGCAGTTAAGGCTGCTCTTCTACAGGAATAATAGCCCAAAACACTTAATACTGAACTGTGACCTGTGAAGTATAATTAAGCCCTAAACAGATCCGTACCCTCTTTTAAGGTATTCCCAATCACAAAATTAAGAATAGATCTAGTGACCTGTGAGGCAATTACAGCTACTGGACTTCAAGAGACAAGAAGCAATTCCTAGTACTAGCTCCTCTTTTGAGAAGCCGGTCCAAACTTTGGTGGAAAGACTAAAGAAGGTGCCACACTAGCATCCTTTCATCCCCCGGGATTGCTAGAGAAATAATGAGAGATCCAGAGCTCTATGCAGTCAGGACAGAACTCGGCTCTATCAGTCTTCAATGATGTGTGGAAGGTACTTGGAAGCAGCATGGTCATAGACCATGACCACTCAGAGCATGGACACAGGCCCAAGCCCCTCGCCAGGTAGATGCGGGAACCAAGAGCCGTCCCACAACCTGTGTAAGGGAGCGCTTTGGAACTGTGCCTTCAGGTGGCTGATGTATTCTAACCTACTTCATCTGCTTACAAGGGAGGGACAGAGGCGATGTGTCAAATAAACAATGCAAAGACTGTCTTTGAGCAAACTGGACCCCTAAGATACATTAATGCAAATAGTTTTAACATTCTACTGGTCACATTTACTTTATGCTAGAAGCTTAAAAATTAGTGGCACCGCTTAGAAATGTGTGCTTATACATGTGTACATACAACTTACCTGCTAAGAGGTAACAATTACGGTTTTTCTAGGGTCTACTCTATGCACTTTACATGAATTCCCTTATTAACTTCCTCACGGCAGCTTGGGAGTTGGGTACCACTCCTGCCTCTCTCCTATCAACAAGGACACTAAGGAATGCCATGGACAAGGAACTCACTCCCAAAACCTAGCCCCATGGGATGAAGCAGATATGCGTGCTCCAGCCATCTGTGCAGAGCCTGAGACCCCGGGAAGCCCACTCACAAATCTCATGGGCTCTACTGCAAACACAAGGGCAGCAAATTCAAAAAGCAACAACTTGAGAAATTAAAGGGCAGAGAAGGGTGAGTGCATCAGATAAGAATAAAGGTACATACGCTGCCTTTTGACACGTAGTTCGAATCATGCATGATGTCTCTGGCCAGGCCAAAGTCACAGATCTTCACGATTTTCCCTTGTGCCAGGAGGACGTTGCGAGCAGCCAGGTCACGGTGGACACACTGCATGGAAAAGCAAGAAACAATTTCAAAACGAATCCATCTGTGATAAGACAGCAGTGTGGCTGCAAGACTGGCCACTCTCTGGTGGTACTTGGAGCTGCCTAGCATGCCGTCCGCAAGGCCACAAGAGCTCGGCCTTCAGCCCATACCCTAACAAACAGACGGCTCTGGAGCCATGGGACACCTGAGAATGACAGGCCCCAGCCCTGCTCAGGGAAAAGGCGGAAAGGTCAGGGAAGGAGAAGCAGTGATACTGCTCTGAGATCTCCTTCCCAGTGTCTCCTCCCCGCTTGGAAATCTGTGGCCCTGTCTCAAGAGGTCTCTGTTCCTTGAACTTACATTTTTTGAAGCCAAAAACTCCATTCCTCGGGCAACTTGATAGGTGAAGCTCAACAAATCCAACAAAGTAAGGCCTTCAGAGTTATCATCTGAGAGGAGGTTTTTGACTTCTGAATCTGCAGCAGAGGAAGGAAATGTGTTGGGCTGGTAGACAGCATGACAGCTCATCCACTCCAAACTCAGCTTGCTGAGCACTGGCCAAAGAACATAGCTAGAGGCACTTTTTACAATCTGTGGACCTTCTGGGTGAACAACTATGTCAAGGGGCCCGGGAGGTGGAGCTCAAGGTGGAGCATGCTTGAGAACCCTGGTTCAATCCCCAGCACTGTGAATAAATAAATACTGAGATATTCTATTTAAAAAAGCAATATATAAGCTGGGCATGGTGGACGCATGCCTGTAACTCCAGCACTTGGGAAGCTGAGGAAGGACTGCTGAGAGTTCTTGGCCTGGCCTACATGGGAAGATCCTGATAGAAAGAAAGAAAGAAAGAAAGAAAGAAAGAAAGAAAGAAAGAAAGAAAGAAAGAAAGACGCAATATGTACAAATTGAGCATTACTAACCAAACCAAGAAACCCAAAACCTAAAGTACTTTAAAATCCAAAATTTACTATTGACTGACATGCCATCACACATGGAGAATTCCACCCCTGACCTTAGGTTACAAATCAGTCAATATATAGTGGTACCTCAGGTCACAAATGCTTTTGTTTACAAACTGCATGGAGTAACAAACATGACCATGGTCATCTGTCCCACACAAATACAAATGCAGCCATCTTTTCCAAAATCATAGAATAAATTAAGTTCACAAACCAAGGTATTATTGTATACGTGCCCTAAAAAATATTGTATAAATAAACTACAGACAGCCTGCATGTATGAAGTCCATGCAGTAATTGTAATATTAGTGAATTTTGTGTTTAGAGTTGGAATCCTGCCCTAAGACTGTTCATTACTTACTTGTGAAAATTCCAGAATCTGAAAAGAATCCAAAGCATTTTTGGTCCCAAACATTCTGGATAAGAAGTATCAGCTAGCATGTGGAAACACACACCTGGCTTGTATGCATGTGTATACACATATAGCTCTAAGGACCAACCTAAAGAGATCTCCCTAATGGGTTCATTCATGTGTGTGTGTGTGTGTGTGTGTGTGTGTGTGTGTTTCATTTGTTTGTTTGCTCCCAGTTTTTTAGTAATCAATTGCCATTGGCATCTTTAAAATTCACACACACGTACATACTCAGATCTTTCATAATATGAGGACTCTGAAAAGTATTTTCTGTATTCATTCATTTGAGATACGATCTCACTATGTAGCTCAGGTTGGCCTCGAACTCCCTATGTAGCCCAGACTTGCCTCAAACTCATGGCAATGTTCCTGCTTCAGTCTTCCAAGCAACTGGATTACAGGTGGGTGCCACCACACCTGGCCTTATTTTCTTTTTATTGCTAACTTCATAGTACCTGATTTATAATTCATCAATTGAATCAACTGCCAACCAGGTGAGGGAGCAATCTTTAAGATCAGGGCCACTGACTTCCTGTGTTTGTAACTTGCCCATTTTCCCCAGTTCACCCCGTCTGGAAGGGTCCCAGAGTTTTCGAGGAAGAAGGCAATCTAAGCCAGCAGTTCTCGGTCCTTTCTGAGAATGTTCAGGCCAGTGAAAAGTGATTCCAGCCATTCATATTTTTCAGCCAGCTACAGGAAGGCCAGAAAACAGTGGTCTGCCTGCCAACAGGGCCTGGGCCTGAGCATGACTCAGGTTCCCCTGACGTCTGGTGCCAAGTCCACCAGCTCAGCCTGGGAAGCAACATAAACTATTTTTAACAATGTGGGAGGGCAGAGGAAGCACTGGTTCCGATAACTCATTGGCTCGCCTTTTAAAAAGCACTTGGAAGTTCACCCATTTGGCAATGAGAAATGAATGGAACTTGGAGCTGGAGAAAATAGAAAATATTGTGTACTGAGCTTTGCAAAACAAGCACATTCTTTTCTTTTATATGGATTGCATCTTTTACCTAAGAACCCTGCAAGTACTCAGAGTACATCTGTGATTTTCAAAACAAATTCCATGGCAGCTCAACACTTTTGCATCAACCAACAGGAACACAAGAAAAGCTAAGATGAGATCCATCCAACAGCGACCCTACTCCAAGTCTGTGGTTAACCCAGGGCTGGGGGCCACCCTGGAGCAGATGGGAGGTGGTCCATCTGGTGTGGTATCAGCCAGGCACCCAGGAATTACAAATCACTTCAACCTACCACATACACTTCTGCTTTGAAAACAGATGGATCTGCCTTCTAACAAGAGTCAACAGAAACACCTGTCAGGAGATATAACCTCAAATTACCTATTCTCCAGTTTCTGCCACAGATTGGAAGTTAGAAAAGCTAAAACCAAGGGTTAATGAAACTCACAGATATCAAAATCTTGTAACTTAAGAAAAAAACAAACCACGATGAGGAAATAATGTAAGACTACCAACTTTTAATTTTTTTCCACGCAAAGGCATTAAAAATCTTTCTATCACCATGCTTTCATTTAAAGAAAGAGGGTGGAGAACTGGATACAATTTAATGGTATTTAACGGAGCATTATATTATATGCAAGTACCAGGGTTCAGTCCCCAACAATGAAAAAGAAATGTTAAAAGACAGTTTTCAGAAACAAGCTAACCAAAAATGAAGGCCATTATATCAGAATAAATTATTTCTTAAAGTGACTACGTGTAAAGCTTGAGGAGTTCACCACATTAAGTCTGTCTTTATTCTTTTTAATTCACAGGGTACAGACTTGTAACATGTCACAGACCAGGCTGAGCAGCCCTGCATTTGGGGACCATGGCAGGTCTACTTATATCCCTGTTCACTTTCCTCTGAGTATTTTCAGTGTCAAATTAAACCACCGGAAGATCACAATGAGCAGAGTGAGCACAGACACCTTTACCTAGCATAGATTTCTTCTTATACGAGGCAGGACGATCGTACAGCGATCTCTGGATATCCGAGTATTTAGAAACCTCTTTCCTTTCCAGCATGGGGACGTACTGCGTGGCATCAGCTTGCTTCATGTCCATGTAGTCGCCATTGTTTTCGAAAGATAAAATCACATAGCTGTAAAAACAGACAAGGAGATTTCACCCAGGGTGACCGCTGGAGTCGTCACTGAGCAGGTGGCACAGCAGATGATGATCTGGAGATTCACAATGTACCAGGTACTGAGGCAGGCACAGCGGCTCCAGGGTGGACAAAAGTAAAACCACCGTGCATCCCTCACATGGGGCGGCCGAGGCAGGGCGCGTTCATCACACAACCACACAAATAAGCAGATCATCTCAAAGTCAGCATCTAAGAAGGAAGCTGTGGAATGAACCCCATCCACGTAAATGGGGTTCATCCCACAGCTTGAGCGTTGAGAATACTTGGTCTCCACAAACGACAGTTGCATTCATTTTTCTCCCATGTTTTTAGCACGCCTCTGTGCATCTTGCATCTTTATCAAGGGTGCAGACGTCCTGAAAGCCACATGTAAGGTGGGGGAATATGTTGCCATCAACTAAGAAAATGTTAGGTTTACTACCTTTAAAATTCAAAAACTTCTTGACATTGTCATTATGTTCTTTCTCTGTTTCTCAAGCCATAAGCCATGAACCTGATCCACTGTGGCCATGTGGCCTGAGGAGATGATTTCTGCTGCTCAATCAATGTAGTACCCTTTTGGTGTCCATTAAGGGATTTACACCAACTCATTATATTTTCTGATCTTATAGATCTTCACATCCACAGAGATTTCTACCCATAGGCTTCTGTGAGGGGACCACTACCACTGGCTTGATTTACCAGCCCATGTTCATCAAGGACAAGTAGCTCAAACTTGGAGATCCTCAGACAGTTTCTTAGAAGTGGATCCACAATCAGCTGGACGTGGTGGTGCACACCTTTAAACCCAGAACTCAGGAGGCTGAGGCAGGAGAACAGCCATGAGTTCGAGGCCATCCTGGGCTACATAAATGAGTTTAAAGTCAGCCTGTATGACACAGTGAGACCTTGTCTCAAACAGAACAGAACAGAAGGGAATACACAAACAGAAAACAAGTGACCTGCATCTTACACTTCCTAAGTGGGTTACATATAAAAAGCAGAATGGTGCCCAGAATGACCAAATCCAACAGCAAGCCTTCCCACATGATATTCTAGAATGAGCCACCTGCAGCCACCATGATCCACTGGCACCATCATGAAGACCAGGCCACGTAAATTCTGTCTGCTACCTCAAGTACTGAATCTGCAGGTGTGGAATGGATCAGGACATGAGTCTGTTTGTGAAGCTCATAAAGTAACAACACAGCCATGCCTCTTCATACTCACCTCCTTGTGCTCTCATCCGCGGGGTTCAGTCCAAAGATGTCCAGCTCTTTCTTGGGCTTCTCTGGGTGTCGGCTCAGGAAGCTATCTCTATTCTTATGCAAATAGTTGACCAAATCTCCATAGAAGCAGTATTCGGTGATGATGTAAATGGGGCCTGTGGGAGCCAAAATCAGTTAGAAGATGCATATATAAATGAAGAACACAAAGTCATGAATTTTCTTTTTAATTGGATTTTTGAAACAGGGTGTCACTGTCCATACTGGGGTAGAACTTGTGATCCTTCTGCCTCAGCCTCCCAGAGTGCTGAGATTCCAGATACGTGCCACCATGCTCGGCTCTACGAATTACACTCAGATCAACAAGAGATAGTGCTCAAAAACAATTCTCTCCCATTGTTCTGTGGGACCAGCGGACTTTGCTGGAGATGCACGTTCACTGGTGTGTTTGGGCGTGGAGAATTTGGGCTGGGTTGAGCCTCACCCAGCCCTTTTTGTAGCCCTAGGTGTGGCATTCACAGCCTCCCTCCCAGGTCAGGGAGCCTACCTGACTTGGTACAAGCTCCCAACAGGTTCACAATGTTTAAGTGTGGCCCCAGGTGAGTCATTATCTTCAGTTCAGACATGAGAGCTTGTTTTTCACTGGATCTGGCTGTGGCTGTGGGAGAAATACACTGTGCGTCAGAGCAGCCAAACTGTCTACTCCTCATTCTCCGTGAAAGCTGGCACCAAGGCTAATCCTGCGATTTGATATCATTTATTTACCAAGAGTCTAAAAGAGGAGCAGATGGTCCATTCAGTCTACATAGACCCTAATGACTAGTTTCCAGTCGTCAGAGTAAGAAGAGGTCGCTAGAGATAACTCCTGGTTTTTCAGAGTAACTAGAGGATTCAAAATAAACCTGACCAAAAGGTTAAAACACACACGTAACCTACAATCAAAAGAACCAGGATCTAATCTTAAATTTGCTATTTTTAGGCATTGTACTTCATGATTAGCATCTCCATTCAAGGCACCCTCACAGGCAGTGCTTACGTTTGAGCATCTTCACAGCCACCTTCATAACAGGCTGGGAGCGACTGAGCCCATATGCTGTTCCCTCCACCACTTTCCCAAAGGCACCGGATCCCAGGATGCGACCTGTGGGCAAGCACAACCATCAACACACACGCCAGCTCCCAGCCCCACTGCCACCGTGGCTTCCAGGCCAGCACACCCAGCATATGGCTGGGTGTGTGATTTTCCTGCATCGAGTAAGCTAATTATTCCTCCAAGCCATCCCGTCAGAAAAAGAACTGATCCCACAGGGAAGGAAATTAGTGTAATTGCTTTTGTCAAATAACATTTGTGAGAGAAAGGAAAACATCAACCCAATGGGAGAGATGAGGGTGCAGGCCTGGTGTGAACACCCTGGCTACCAGCTTGGTGCTGGCCAGGATCCAGGATCCCCTCCACTTACCACCTATGGCTCCCTGGTTCTCTACCCTTCTATTGGCCACCATGCAAACAGAGGCACTGTTTGCATCAATAAATCTTTGACCACTGGAAATACTTCAGCATTCCGAAGTTCATTGGTCTCCAGGGTCACGTAAGGAAAAACCTGGGGCCGAGCTCACTGCTGCCCATGGCTAGGAAGGCCACGACAGCAGAGGCAGAACACGCCTGGAGCGCAGGCTGCTACTGCCCACCAAGAGAGACAAAGAAAGTCATTTTCACCACCCTTAAAGAATGATGAGGAACGTTTCTAGGGCACCATGGACAGCTTGGCCTTGGAAGGACTGTGCTCATGAAAGACACGAGAAGCAAGCTCTGTCCTACCCACCTGTCTGCACTGTTAGAAACCACACCTGGAAAGGTACTGGTTTGCCAGCTACCTGGAATGGCTCAGGAGCAGAGAGACAAGGCAAGGCCCTCAGAGAGGAGGGGTTGTCTTCCTTACTCTCCACATCACTGGGATACCATACCCAACACACACAGCTAAATGGAGGAGCGGTGTTTAGCTTGCAGTTTGTGCAGGTTGTCCAAGGCAGGACAGCATGGCAGAGAGGCACAATGGAGAAGTGGCTCATGGCATAGAAGCAAAAAGCAGAAATCAAGCTCAAGAGAGGAGAGAGGGAGGCAGAGCCCTTCAGGCTATGCCCTCAGCAACACCTGACACCCCCAAGTCACCCCCAGTGATCCATCCTCCGAATGAGCATCACTTCCCAACATCACATTCATCGAGGGTAAGTCTGATGATCTAACCAGCATTACATCCTCATGAGTATCACACCCTCACTGTCCACTTATCTCCCAAAAGCCTCAGCTATGATTATATGAGGCTCTGAGGGACAAATGGACAAAAACCACAGCATTCTCCACCTGGCCCCTAAAAGACTCATGCACATCTCTTTATGCAAAATGCTTTTAGTCCATCTCTCAGAGTTGCCAAAGTCCTAACAGTTCTAGCATTACTGAAAAGACCAAGTCCAAAGTGTCCTTTGAGATTTAAGGCAAACTCTTAACTGTAAGACCCTGTAAAAATAAAGAAAAATTTTTAGGAGCTGGGCATAGTGCCTGCCTGGCAAGCACAAGGTCCTGAGTTTGATTCCCGGTACCAACAACAACAAAAAAAGTTTTTAAAAAGTTAAACACTGCCAACACACAAAGGCGGAAACAGGAAGATAAAAAGGAATAGGGCCAAAGCAAGAACAAAACCCAGCAGAGCAAACATTCTAAGAGCATAATTTTATGAGAAAATTTGCTTTTGCACTACTGTGTGTTACAGCAACTGACCAGGCAAATATAGGGAGGGATTGGTTTTTTTGTTTGTTTGTTTTTGTCTTTTTGAAACAGAGTCTACTATGCAGTTCAGGCTGACCTTGAGCTCACTTTGTAGCCGAGGCTGGTTTCGAACTCACAGTGGTCCTCCTGCCTCAGTCTTCCAAACGCTGGGATTACACGCATGAGCAACCACACCTGACTTTAGGAAGCGATCTTTATGTTTGCCCACTTGTGTGACATATTATCAATGGGTAAGTTTTACCCATCTTATGTTCCATGTTACATTTTTGTGCATTTATAATTTGTTTTATTGAATGTTTTGTTTTTATTTTTCTGGTAGAATTAGCCCAACTCAGTATAATGCCACATGAAAACCCACTTTCACAACTTTTGGAGGAGTTGAAAGCCTTTCATCAGGTAATGTGACAACCTGGCAATTCCATACCTAGATAAAAATTAGAGAGAAACAGATGCATACACACCCACAAAGACAGCTCAGCTGGTAGAGCAGAGGACTTCAGACCTGACAAAGACTTGTTCTAGAATACTCTCGGCAGCTGTATGAGAGGCAAGAGCTGGGAGGCCTGAATACACCGTGATGTGCTGACATAATGGGCTTTACCCACTACTGATACATCTAAGACGCAAATTTCAAAATATTTTGCTGAGTGAAAGAAGCCTTATGAAGAAGAGGACACACTGTAATTCAATGTTGGAAATTGTAATGGGCGACCTGGGACTGGAATTCTCTAAACAGACAGCTAAAACATCTCAAGAACTTCCTAACAAAATAGCAAGACCAGGGGGATGTCCAGTATGTTCTACCAAAAAAGACAGGAAAACAAAACTTGTGCTATTGCTATCAGCAATACTTGTATATGGAACACGCTGTTTTTAAGTGTGAAGACTGCCTTAGGTGCCATAACTGAAGTAAAGATGACCCCTGTAGCCAGGCTGACCTGAACTCATAGCAATCCTCCTGCCTCAGCCTCCCAAATGCTGGGATTACAGTCATCTGCCACTATGCCTGAATAGAAGGGTCTTCTTTTTCACTTTTGGCAGCCTGAAATATCATGTAAGAAATCTAGAGGCCCAAGAAAAAAGGCCAAAGAGGAGGTAGTCCTGAGACAGAGACAAAGACAGAGAAAATTGAGTCATTTCAGCATCCCAGCTGAGCCTGGCTCCCAAGGGGGACCCAAGAGGCATCAGACACATGAGTGGTCATTTTGGATGCTCCAACCCAGTTGAACCTTCAGATAAGCTCCTAGTCAACATCCTACAGTGTGGAAGAATTATTTAGCTGGGTGCAGTCACATAGAATTATAAGTGATAAATTGCTCACTGTCTTAAGTCATTAAATTTTGAGGACACTGCGATGTAGCAGTACATAAGACAGTGGAGGAAGGGATCCTGGGCTGCATGACACGACGGAAACTGAAGTTTCACTGAATTCCCTGATTTTGAAATGATCTCTCACTGTCCTGCTTTTTCTCTTTCCCTGTATGTTAGAGACCAAATCCGGGGCCTCGTGCATGTGACACAAGTGCCCTGCTACTGAGCTATGCTCCTAACCCATCGCTGCTCCCTCTGTACTTACATTCAAGAGATTCTGTAGTTCAGAAATGTATTAGCTTGCAGTTATCGATTGACATTGACCTTAACTGTAACATTCAAGATCTTTACTCTGATAGAATACAAGCACAAAATTTGACAGTGTGATGATCCATAATCCCTCAGTCCAATGTCTTGACTCCAGCTAGAAAACTTTTCCAGTATGCCTCTGTCTTATCAAGGAAATTTTCTTTCTTATATTTTTCTTCAAATTCTTTTCGTAGTTTTTGAGAAGTGGAATCACAATTCCTTTTATGCAGTGCTTCCAGAGAATATAATAGCACTATTTAAGGCATTCTTGTCCGCTAATGATTTTAACAAGATTTTAATATTCCCATCTTGTGCTCCTTCTCAGGGAATCTAACCTTACTCACAAAGGGCCACATCCCACAGCCTGTGTCCAGCACCCAGGGTGAGATGTGGCAGCAATAAGCTTCAAACTTCCAGGGCAGCCCCGACTCTATGGCCTTTGGCCCTGTGGCCGCCCCCATGGCTTCTCCCCTCAATATGCTCGCTCCAGATGTTCCTCATTCCTTCTTCTCCAACTTTCTGGGTCATTCACTGCACTTTCAGCTCCATTATCAAGCGTCATACACTGCTGTGTCACAGGCACACTGTCTGGCCTACCAGGCCTTCTGAAGTCTGGGTGGAAGCTTCCTTGACTCCACTTTCTTGCATTCTGAATGCCCATAAATCCAGCACCAGGTGGAAAATGCTAAAGTTTGCCATCAGCAGCTTGAGCAGCAGCTGAGTTCTTTTGTGTCTTGCAGGTGATGATACAGACCTCATGCACCTGGATGGTTGAGTGGTGAACTGAATCCAGAGGAATCAATTCCCTAGGTTCCTTCTCCTTCTTTAGCTCAGTGGCCTGGGGCTCTCTTCTTTAAAGTCTTTCATTTTTGCAACTTTGAACCCTCAAAGAGTGGGGTCCTGTTGGTTCCTGTGATGTCACCAGGCCACCTTCTCGATGGTCCTGTTGTAAAGTACTTGACTTATTTTTAATGCATTCATCAACCAAGTTCTCTTCTACTCTGCCTTACAGGTCCTGACTTTACTGGCCCTTTCTTTTAGGCCAAACTGCACTTTTTCAAACATTCAGCTGGGTCATTTACTCTTGATTTGCAAAGTAAAGCTGACTAAGAGCTCCAGACAGTACCTAAGCCACAGCCTGAATGTTAGGCTGCCATGAAATTTCCTGTGCCATGAAATTAGTCTGGTGCCCTCAATCTCAGCCTCCTGTAATAACTCCAGACATGAGTAAAATGCAGACAAATTTTCTGGCAGAGCATAACACACGTGGCCTGGAATCTAACTGTCAATGGAGTTCTTCTTCCCAACTCAAATTTCTTGAGCCTTGTCTTTACCAGCTGCGTTTCTGTCAACATTCTGGTCTTCACAGCTTGAGTATAGTCTCCCACTGAGTGTGGCTTACAGCATTCTATAGTTGCTTTTCTCCAGCCCATGACTCCTAAGAATCTGTTCCAAAGGGTTCTGAACCACATAGTCAGGTAGTCACAGCAACGACCCCACTTACCTGGCACCAAACTCTGTCTTACATGCTTTCCTCATCATTGGAACACAATACCCGACATCCACTACCAAAAGGAGGACAGGTTTATTTTGGGTTACAGTTTGCACAAGTTTTATTGCATAGTCAGCTGGCAGCAAGGAAAGGTAGCATGGCATAGAGGCATGGCAAGGGAGCATGCTCACGACATGGTGGGCAGGAAGCAGAGAGCAATCACGGAAGGGGAAAGGAAGTCAGGTGCTCCTAGGCCACATCCTCACTCACCCTCCTCCACCCAGGCTTCACCTAACTCACCGGTAGATTAGGCCACTGATGAGTATTGAGATCCAGTCAACCCCCAGAAGCCCCACCTATAATCACATGAAGCTTTGGGGGGACATCTAGATAGAAACCATAACAGGGATTTTACTCTTCCTCTCTGTCCCAAATTTTTATTACTTTTTAACTTCCTAAACTTCCTAAAGCTCCTCATCATTCTTTGGGAAACAGTGGTGAAAATATAATAAAGGAAGCTTAGGTATAAGCCTGTAAAATTGGCAGCAGTGAAGGGTACCTTATTTGATGTTAATGTAACTGTCTAAATCCCAAACTATGCTGTATTTTGAAACAAGACTCATAAGATGATTAAAAACTGCATTTGTCTAGATTGTTCACAATCTCTACCTCTCACTTTCATTCATTCATTCAAAATGCAATTCAAAGCAAAACAAAACACAACAACATCAGAACTCCTTTGGACTTCATATACTTAGTCTCGGCCCAGGTTTAAAATATCTGAAATCTGTGACAAGTGGCTTCTTATATTTAAGTGGTTTGCTTTATATTGTATACATTGTCTTATGTCTTTTATCACATACACATAAAGAAGCACCCCATGAACCCTCAGAATGAACAAGATCAAAGTACACCTTGAAAATCATCCTCTTTTACTTCTTATCTTATCTAGCTCATTTTAGTAAGAAAAATTCATTTCACTTTCCAATTGGCATCATTTCCAAAGCAAAATCATTTTGGTATTTTTGCCAGGCCTCTCCCTGACATTTTAAAAACCAGTGCAGAGATACAATTGACTCTTTTTTTTTCCAGTGCCAAGGACCAAACTCAGGGCCTTATATATGTGAGGTAAGCACTCTACCACAAGACTATACCCCCAGTCCCATTAATAATTTTCAAGATAGAAGTACATTTCTACAAGCAAATTTCTATTGTTTGGTTCTTACTAGGCAAAGCTCAGAACCCTATCTCTGTCCCAGGCCTATAAGTAGCAAGTAGTGTACAGGTGAGAAAAATGTCTGGGGAAGTCACTGTCATGAGAGCTTACCAAGCACCAATCCATCTCTTGGAAATTCCCATCTCGAGTCATAAGGCAGTTGCATCGGGTCCACGTAAATATATTCATGTCCATCAGGGCTGATTGATTCAATGACCCTCCAGCGAATTTCATACCTCGGTTTCTATAAATGAGCAGGACAGGTAACTGGTGAGTTGTCTAAGTCCTGAGGCATCAGAACTTCACCATAGCAACAAAGTGATTAGAGACAGGGGTTAGATACACAAGTCATCCCACTTGTCATACTGACCCCCTTCTCTGTGCTGAATGCTGCCCTAAGCTGCTGCTCTTATTCTTATTGGGTTCAAATACTTCAGTGTTTTAGAAGATACCTACCTGCTTCCAAATTACAACCAGGACAATAAGTGAGATGATCACAATCACCAGCAACACCAGCACCGCAGCGGCCACTGTGAGCTCAGAATGCAGGGCTAGAAAACAGAGAGATGAACACGGTGAGGAATTTCCTCCAGGTACTGGGGAGACAGGAAGTTGTTGGCTGTGCCTGGTCAGAATCTCTCATGGTCTCTCTGGACAATTTTAGGGGTGAGCAATGTCACCTCCCAGATATCTGTACTCAGGAAACTACACCAACTCTTCCTTTGAGAGAGCAATGGGCAAAATTCCATCTCTATAGTTTGTCCAAAGATACTTCAAGAATAAGCTTTCAGAAAGAATCTGATCAGGAGTAACATAGACAGATGAGATAGACAGCTACTATGTGTGTAGAAACCTCTGCTTTCTAAGGTTTACTATTATAAAGCGTAGGTTGAAAAGTTGCATTTTGCTCAGATTGCTTTTGTCCTCATGCAACCTTCGTTTTTAAAGAATTCAACCTGAGATAGGTAGGAAATCTTCTTCTTTCTTCACTCCACATACAGATGCTCAGACTAAAGCTCACCCCACAAACAGCTGCACTACTAGATAATCACATGGTCAAGGTGCTCTGCAAGACTCAGCTTTGAATAAGAATCTGAAAGAAAGGCCCAGATGCCCAGGAAAGCCCTTTTAATACTTTCATAGCCAAATTTCTGCCTTCATTCCTGCACTGCCTGCTCTGGGTTCCACACCCCACCAAGGATAACAGGGCTCAGCTGATGACCTACTGCTGTCCTGACTACTAAGAAACCTACTGGGAACCACCAGCTTCAGCTCCCGGCTGCTGGACCCAAGGAGATTCTTGGCCAAGCATCGAACAGCAATGGTCTCCTCCACTTTGGCAAACGTCACTCGGCCCTCCACAATACTCTTGCCCTGGGAATGTGTCTCTGTGATGATATTTGAGACATTGTTGGCCAAAACTGTCCAGGAAGTCTCATTATTACATCTAGAGAGAAAAAGGACACAAAGAGAGATGGATGCAGTTATTAGGAGTCATGGTATGAACAGAACAGTGATCTTGTCTGCACTTCTGATCTTGACAATACCTGGGGATGTGCTATGGGCTTGTGTATTAACATTAAAACATAACTACACACACTCGAGTGGAAATAATCGGGCTGTAGATAACTGGAAGTTAACTGTTTGGGAAGGAGGCAGAAATAAACATGTTCAATATAATATTCTATGCATCCCAATATTGAACCTATGAGCAAATTAAGCGGTTTAACATCAAGCTCATAAAGGTCCCAATTTCCCACCCTTTCAGAAAGGCCTGGCTGTCCCTTCTCACCACACACATCAGAAGAGCGTGAAGATGTCACTAAGGTTGAGTAATTCTCAGCACTGAGCAGTAAGACCTAGATTTGAGCTACAGCCAGCATCCAAATTACCCCTTAGCCCTCATAGAAAAGTCTCAGCTTTGGGGGAAAGCAGTTGAGGCACTGAACACAGAAGCCATGGGTAAAAAGGTGAGCACTAGATTACATCTACTGAAGATGGAGGAGGCGGGCACAGTGCTCAAACCTGTGCTCACACCTGTAATCCCAGGTTCAAGCCCAGCCTGCACAACTCATCAGACCTAGTCTCAAAATAAAATAGGGCTGAGGACATGGCTCAGTGCAAACGACGTGGGTGCAATCTGCAGTACTCCCCCACCAAACAAAGGCTAAGGATTGGGGAGGAAGTGGTAGATAACCACTGTCAAACAGTGATGAGGGGTGAGGGAGAAAGCAGTCACGTGGGTGCTACTTTTGTTTTTGTGTACAGGCCAGCCTAGCCAGCAAACAAGAAATGTGCGGTAAAATAAGAGGGTAGTGCAAATCGTCATAGGATTGTAGTTTTCAAGACTCATCCTTTTTTCATAGTAGAGACCCTCTGAGGAGCTGGTGGAAGCCTTCTCCTTATATAGCCCTATGACAAAGAAGAATCACAAATACAAAACGAGCCAGTCAAACCAATAGAATGCATTTGGTTCCTTCCTGTCAAGGAAAAGACATTCTGAGCACAGGGCAATGGGGGCTATTAGTTTCCATACCGCTTAATGTCCCTGCAGACCATCCACTCGATGTCAGGCAGAGGGAGGCCTTCCGCCGTGCACCTCACAGTCTGTTCCCCGCCGGAGCCATGATGGTCATCAACCAGGTCCAGGATGGAGGAGGGAACTGTAGGAGTGGAGAAGTCAGCACTGAAAAGGTCATGTCACAGAGCTGTGGGGGCTTCCACATGGCCCGTGAGCTCGTAAGCTGTCCACGTGCCAGAACCCCATGGGAGGGGGCGGAACCTGGCTGTCTGAGTCACCCTCCTCCTTAGACACAGCCACTGGTTAAGAGCATGTGCAGTTTCAGCGTTTGGGGATTTGTGCCTGTGGTGCTCTAAATCTGGTACAAGAAATGTAAAAAGTGTCCATGGTCATTTGGTTTGAAAGGAGAGGAGTCTCTTCATTACTAAGGTCTAAGGATTTTTAAAAGTCTTGGTCAGCATGGCTAATGCTTGCATCACAAATCCATGGTGAGGATCCAAAGACCTAAGACTGCACCAAGATACAGAGGTGCTCCATGAACGGGGCTGACCTAGACATCGGCTTTGACAGGGGCCACAGTGGAGCTGGGCAAAATTCCTCAGCAAAAGGAAAGTAAGCTTTTAAGTGCGACAAAGCTGTCCCTACGTGTGGCATCTCTGGTCCCTGCTTCCCCTCTACGGCCTGACTTTCCCACCCTACCCTCAGAGAGCAGCACCACACTCCTTGGGAGACAGCCACCCTCGGAGCTCGCTCTGCCTTTCTACTGCCTTTGCATACCTTGAGTTAACAGCTCAAATGTGTAGCTCTTCACGTCATCTTCATTTTGAACTATAATAGTGTAATGGCCACTGTCTTCTTCCTTAGCACGGATCAGCTTCAGTTTGCTTCGATACCTTAAAAGAAGCAAGCTTTGTTTCAGTTCTGGTTGTTTAAGCAACTACCATCTTCAAATTAAATTTCACTTTTGTAATTTCTTGTCTCTATCATCTCTTTTGTAGAATTCTCAAGTTTCCACATGACAAATGTCTGAACCAGAGACGTGATTCTTAGGATGATTGCTGAGTTCAAGGTCAGCCTGGAATACACAGTGAGTTCAAGCCAGGCTGGACTACATAGTGAGGCCTTGTCTCAAAAACAGCAGAAATCATGATTTCTACCTTCTAAACACACATGCGCACACACAGACACACAACCAAATATCCATCATTTGGATGATTTGGTGAACTGGTGGAACACAGAACAGAACAGAGATGCTGTCTACCTGCTGACACAGACAGCAGCCTGGGATACAGGGCTGTGCTCATCTACCTCGGCTTACAGAGATGCGTGGAGTGGAGGGGTAACTGGACAGATGGGGAGGGCAGGAGAACTTCGCTTATTATAACACCGCCTCTTCGTGTTTGCTTTTGAAGCTTGGGATTCTGTCATTAACACCAAAAGACAGAATGAATAACTTCTTCACACTATCATAAAAGAGTTTCTCCCAAAAGATTTATATGTATTATACATGATTTGGGGTATTGTATGTGTATGTAACATTTTCCCATTTCACTCGTCTATAAAACATTAACAGTTAACAGGCATAGAATTATATGCCTGCAATCCCAGCACTCAGGAGGCTGAGGCAGCAGGATTGCTCGTTCAAGGCCATCCCAGGCTACACAGCAGATTCAAGGCGGGCCTGGTTTATCCAGCACCACCAAAAACACAAAATGCAAAAGCAACTAGAATGGTAAAGATAAGCACTGGTCATAAAGTATGAAAAACTTGGACATTACTGAAATTCTCCATGCCTTGGTTTCCTTCTGTATAAAAAGGTATAACTGCATACGGCACAGTCATTCTGGGAATCTGTTAAATGAGTTTACACACAGGAAAGCACAGCGTAGGCCCAAGAGCACTGCTCAGATGCTGTAGCAGCCAGGCCTGAGGAAGAACAGGCTGGGCTGGTTTTCCCTGTTACACTCAGGGTTTTGCTTCAGCATTGAAACCCTCAGAGCCCCTGAGACACAGCTGAGATGCCCAAAGGAGCTTCTGTTGCTCACCACTATACTTGTTTGGCCAAGAAAGCAGTGGGTCCCCTGGTTTCAAGCTCCACAAAACTGGATACCCCATGTACCACGGTCATCCTCGTGTTTCCTGGTGCACAATTATTAAAAGCTAAAAAAAAAATTTTTATATGTGCTGAAGGATTCTTGAATCACGGTAACAGGCAGCTTTCCAGAACCACCTGCTGGCAAGTGTGGCTCATCGCCTGCTATCGGTGATAGCCTGGGGATTGTGTTCAGCCTCGTCTGGAGCGTTAGCTGAGCCAGGATCACCCTGTTCCACTTTGCCTTCATAGAGTCGGCAAATCTCCTGGTTGGCAAACTGCCCACCCTGTGTGCACCTTCATTTTGTGTCAGCAGAAAGCCTGGGGATCAGTCAGGGTCCCATGCCCCTCGTTCCAGTCCCATAAGCGTTCTGTTGGTGTCTTAAGATCTCATGTTCTGCACTGAGGGTGTAATTTAGTGATGCATCAATGCACACTCAGCCTGGACAACAAGGTCCTGGGATCAATTCACAGCACCACAAAAAAGAAAAAGAAAAGGATCTAATTCATTTTCTCAAATGCTGCTTCTCAACTGCACATGGAATATAGTTCAGCAAAAAGAATGCAAAACCTGGAGGTCAGTGAAGGGATGCGAAGGTTCTGTTCTTCTCCTGACTACAGGTTAAAACACAGGACTGAGTTATGTTCTCCCAGAATAACTGCCGATGAGGGCAACTGGCTGAAGCTGGGCTGGACTCCTGGAGTCAGTCACAGCTTGAAACTTCGACAGAGGATGGGATTGAACCCCGTGCTGGGGTCGATTCTCAGCAACACACACACACAAACTGCAAGAGACATCAAGATATCATCTCGCCCAGTTCCTTGCCTTGAAAACATGAGGTAATATTAATCTTGTACTACAGGTGAGGAACTCAAGGCTGAGTTGGCTCACCCAAAGCTCTACAACTAAGACAAGAGAGCAGCTACCATTCTCCTGAAAGCACAGGAAACCAAGTCAGGTGTGGAGGTGCATGCTTGTAACCCCAGCACTCTGATGCTGAGGAAGAAAGACAGCAAGTGTCAGACTAAAAAACTTAGAGATTTTTTCTCAAAATTTAAGGAAAAAAAAAGGACAGGTGCAAACGTGTCCCAAATTTAACCAGTGATGTTTTGATTCATTTGAGTTGTAATAACTGTCTTAACAATCAGTGGAATCATCAGAAATGTCCACTTTCCAATATTCAATCTAAGTGAGTTCAACTTCATCTTTCCTCCATCCTTGGATGGATTTCTAAAGCTGACTTTCATGGGGGACAGGGAGTTTTCTGTCTTTCTCCTTATCATTAAATATTTACCAGCACCCCATTATCACACTGCAGTGTTACAACAGAGGTATTTGATTTTTAGGCATCTCTCGACTCAGACTACATGTGCTAGATGGACTTTCAGTTTGGATTGTGAGGCAGCCACTGACCTCCATCTTGCTAAGGACATTAACAAGGCATATATGGACCAGGCACAATCACACACACTTGTAATCCCAGCACTCAGGAGGCTGAAGCAGGAGAATTGTTAGTTCGAGGCCAGCCTGGGCTGCACAGCAAGCTCAAGGCTGGCCTGGACTATATAGCGAGACCCTGCCTCAAAAAAACAAAAACAAAAACAGGGGGTTGAGGAGAGGGAAACAGGAAGAGACATACTTGGAAGGGGCATGTTCTCTACCTTATTTCCCGAATCTTTTCCACATCAGTGGTGATCTCAGTGAGATTTTCGATCAGAGTCAGGTTGTCCTTCAGCCAGGAGATCCTGGGAGGCGGGTAGGCCTGTATGTCCACCACGAAATGTCTGACCTCGTGCAGGTTGACAGCTTCCACGTGGCCAAAGGTGGGCTTGATTTCCACGAACCCTTTCTCTGCACAGGGAAGAGTTATGTCACACAGTGACTGTCACCTCTAGACGCCGGGCAGCCTGGGAGACTGCTTGCTGCTCCGGAAGCAGAACCTACCGTGCACAGCGATGCTGACTCTCTTCATTTCCTTGACATCCTCGGTGGCGTGGCGAGCAGTGCATTCATAGTCCCCACTGTCTTTCACCGTGGCCTCCGGGACTGTCAAAGTGTACACCAACTTGATGGTCGGAAATCTGATTTCCTGCAGCTTCAGGAGGCCTTTGCCTTTCTGCAGCAAGGGGAAGGAAACTGGTTTTTAAAAAGATGGCTCCTGAGGTTGAGGTCTGGAGAATCTCAAGGATGTGCTGTCACTGACAGATGGCCTCCAACACAGTGCTCTGGGCACACGCCACCCCGGGTCTTGAGGGTACCTACCATGGCTCCAGGGTAGGTCCACTGAAGGTCAACCACTTCATTGTTAAAGACGGCACAGGTGACCACGATCGTCTCCCCTGACTTATACACAGTTTTCAGGGCTTCCATCTCTAGATCCAGCTGTGATGCAGCTATAAAAATATTGATACAGATACACGATATAGATACAGATGAAGATACAGATACATGCATGTATATATGTAAGAATTTATGTAAGATTTGAGTTATAGAAAACCCTGGAAAACTCTGATAAACTACATAGTGAGTGTCCTTGTCTCAGGAAAAATAAATAAATAAAAGCAATAAAGAAGTAAAAAAAAAAGTGCCTGAGACCTAGTGTGGTGTGTATTCTTATAATCCTATCACTCTGAAAGCTGAGTCAGGAGGCTCCCAAGTGCAAGCCTGTGTGGGCTATACAGCAAGGCGCTGTCACAAAAAACAATCAAATAAACAACCCTTAGTAGTTTGCACACCAGTCTCATCAAGACAAAATTTGGAAGATCGGAGAGGTCTTCACCACCAGTTGCTACACACAATTTGGCAGGTAATTGTAGCACAGGACTACAAATAACGATAATCAGAACAAATCCCAGGAAACAGAATGCAGGCTCCCGAGCACGTGGGTCTGCACCCAGTCTCTCACAATCACGTGGTCACCCAGTCTTTACCGAGTGACACCTGCTCCTGTCCCTTCAGGTCCCTTCTGCCCACTTTGCTGCTCAGTTTTGTGCAGGGCCTTCCTGAATCCCACAGTGCCGGGCACAGAAGTCCTTGAGCAGGCCAGGTGCCAACTCTCAATGCTGTGCATGTTCACACAGTGCTCCGTAAACCCAGCCCAGTGGGCTCCCAGTCATTCTATCTGGTTCGGCTAACCCGTACATCAAAGGGATGGGATTTACAGTCCACCCTGCCAGCCCCTCCTCATAATGAAATCACTTAATTCTTACTGTATTAAAATTAACCTAGGTAACCAGCACCTGGGGTGTGTGTTTGTCTTTCGGGTCTCTGTCGTCAAGAATACAAATCATACAGTAAGAGGCTTACGTGAGAAAAAATTCCCTGCAGTATTTTAAGTCAACCAATGACATGAACCTCACAAGTGTAAGCAAGTGTTAGCTTTTAGTGACTCTAAGCTTTGTATCATTACAGCCGCAGTGGTCGGCTACATTGTATGGTAAAGGCGGGGTCCTCAACCCCCAAACTAGAATGCCAGCTTCCACCACCAGTGATGAGAAGTAAACTAAAACCCCACCTGCATCTGATGACTTCGTTATTTTTTACTTAAAGGAGAGAGGAGGGCCAAGTACCTTTCAAAGTAACGATATTAAATAGCATGGTCTGGAAGGTCTTCCCTTGGACGGTGGCCTCACAGAAGTAGGGCCCCATGTTGAAGGTCCCATTGAAGCCCTGTTTGCTGTCGTACGAGGCTGGCACCAACCCCTGGCTGTTGTGTAAGGTCACGGGAGTCCTGGGGTCTGTCGTGCGGCAGGGTATGATGGTGGAGTCATCGTTGTTTGCAACAACTATGTAGTCTGTCATTTCTAGAGGCAAAAAGGCCACATCCGGGTCTGTGGTTTAAATGAGAAAGAAGAATCTATTAGGCGTTAATTTCATCTTTACACACATATGCAGAAAAGTTACCCCACCAAGATTGCTCTTTATTTGTGTGTGTGTGTGCGTGTGTGTGTGTGTGCATGTGTGCCCATACCATGTGCACAAGGGATAATACCCAGGTCCTTGCACAGGCTGCATAAGCACTCCATCACAGGGCTACACCCACCGCCCAGCTGTATCTGTATTACAGCTGCCCTCTGTGGCTGTAATAACACAACTCCCATTAGCTATGAATTTTACTTTTGTTCCTGTATCCACCCCATCGACATCAGTCATCGTGACAGCTCCAAGGCAACTTGAAACTCTGAATCATGCCCAAATGTCTGTCCCTCATAAAAAAAAAAAAAAAAAAAAATGCTGGTGATAAATAAAAATGCTAACCAGGTGTCAAAATTCAAATTTAAACAACAAACATGGAAAATAAGTCATCATTTTTATGTTATAAATGCTGTTAGAGACTCCTAGTGCTGATAGGCAGTATTACTGACAGCACAGGCATCTGTTGAAACTGGTATCTTAGCAGTAAATAAGATGCAGAGTCAGAGGTTTACTGCAGTGGCAGAACACACGCGTGGCTTGAGTGAGGCCCTGGCTTTCATACCCAGCACCACCACCACCACCAAAAACAAAAAGTATAATTCCATAACCTGAAAGCTTCCTTTCCAAAGAATCACCCAGGTAAGCTGCGCGGTAAGAAGCACTCAGAGTTCTGACTGCAGAGAAGGGACCTGACTCCCCACCCCGCAGTGAACAGACACCTGCTGGCCACTCCAGGCGGGGCTGCCTGGCTGGTGTCCTGCTGGGAAGAGGAACAGAACAGAAAACACCTTTGGACGATTCTAGGCAGATGAAAGCTTCAAGACCCCCATTCATTAACAAATCTGTGTTTTTACTGTTCTCTTCACAGCAGGGAAAAATCCTTCCACATTTAGAAGGAAGCAAAGTGATGTATTTACGTGTGAAATTGGGTGACATTCTAAATACCTGCCATTTGTTTTTTCTGTTTTGGTTTTTTGAGACTAGGTCTTGCTATGGAGTTCAGGCTGGCCTCAAACTCAAAGTGATCCTCCTGCCTCAGTCTCCCCAGTGCTGGAAATTTTTTTTTCTTTAAACCAAGTCTCCAGCTTTAATTTGTTCAACAATACGCTGAGACTGCCTCATTCAAATCTGTGTTCAGATTTCAAAATCCTTGAACTCTGTTAACAAAGATTTCTATAAATGAAGCTCCAATTAATTTCAAGTTAAACATACAGAATGATGTCCTTCACGGATCAGCCAGCATTCCTTCAAAATGTTCCTTAGGGGGAGGAGCTCTAGGAAGCCAAGCAGGATGGTTGCAGGTTTGAGCCCAGCCTGGGCAACTTGGGGATTTAGTGAGACCCAGTCTGCAAGGATCAGGGGTGGCAGTGCAGCACCATGCAGTGGCCCTGGGTTAGACTTCCAGGACTGAAGGAAGGAGGCGGGGATGGAGGGGGCTTTGTGGGCTTGCTCTCTCCGAAGTATTTAGGGGTCGTCTGCTATTTCTAGCAGACCCCGGGGGATCTGCTGAGCAGTGAGCTGCTCTGGACACAAGTGGAGGGGTCCAGGAAGCAGGCTTTGGATAAGCTGGAGAGGGCCTGACATCAGCCTGAGGCATGGGGACACAAAAAGAAGACACTGTTTCCCTCCATGTGCACCGTCTTTCATAGCTGCTGCTCTCACCCTGAAGAGGCTGCTTCTGTTACCTTTTGTCTCATACTCTGCTGAGCATCCCAAGCTTGCTCTGCAGAGCCAGTTTCTCCTCGCTTTACTCTGTTTCAAAACAAACTTGGCTACCGCTTTTTGCTCATTTCATTGAAGAACCTGGAATCTAACTCCAGAAGGAGAGGCGAGTAACCCAGAACCCAGGAACATTTGGTGAGCCACTTTCAGAAGAAGCTACCTGATATATAAGGAACAGAGAATATGGGAAGAGGCAGCAACAAGAAAGGCTTCTTGGCCCCCAATCCTGAGAAACAGTCAATAGCGGACACCGCACCAATAGACATAAAGCGCCATATAGAGAGCCTCATAGACCAATTCAGGAATGAAGTTATCAACGACCTGAAGCTAGAAGTATGCAGAATAGTTAGAGAAATGCTAAGCACCACCCAAGAAAAAACAGATAGTGGAATGGAAGAACAGAAAAAGAGGGGAGAATTGTTTGATGGAGAAAACAGAGAAAGCATAGAATACGTGAAGCAGGTTCAAAGGGACTACCAAGAAACTAAGAAGTCTATCGAAGACTGGCATAACAGCTTGAAAGAAACTAAGGACAGACTATCTGAACTGGAGGGCAGACTTGTAATATGGGAGAATGAAATGAAAAACTTCTTAAAAATAACAAAGAAACAAACAGCAATAATACAAAGACAGGAAGATGATAAGAGGATCCATAACTTAAGGATTAAGAACATAAAAGAAGAAGTAGGGACACAAACAAGTGAACTACAAAAGCTACTCACAGAAATAATCCAGGAGAATTTTCCTAATTTAGCAAAAGGTAAAGATACTCAGATGTATGAGGCATACAGGACCCCAGCTATCTACAACCCAAACAGAGCAACACCCAGGCATATAATAATCAAAATTCCAGAAATTCAATACAAGAACAGAATATTAAAAGCTGTCAGAGACAAGAAACAGACCACTTACAAGGGAACACCCATCAGAATTACAGCAGATTTCTCTGCACAAACCATCAAATCACGAAGAGCGTGGGGGGAAATAATTCAAGCTTTGAAAGATAATAATCTCCAGCCAAGATTGAGATATCCTGCACAACTGTCCCTGGAAATTGATGGAAAAACGAGGTGCTTCCAGGATAAAGAGGAACTGGGGGAGTTTGCGGCCACCAATTCAACTCTACACAGAGTATTGCAGGATATTCTAAAAAAAAAGAAAAATACAAAGAACCCAGAAATAGTGGCGGGGAGGCCACAACGAATGCAGCAGAGAACAAAATGAAGAAGACAAACTGACAGCTACTGACAGAAAAAGAGCTCAACAGAAATGAGGCAGAGAAGATTGGATGATAGGAACAGCTATTTTGGAGAAAATGACATCTTAATAGGTAATACTGATTTAGTATCATCTTGTTTTGAAGTCTCATCTAGCTTTTGTTCTTCTGTTTCCAATGGTCTAAATAGGTTGTATCTTATTGGATTTTGTTATGTACGATAGTATAAGCAAAAACCTTTTAAAGACAAGGAGATTATACAGAAACCATTGTTCATTTTCTGTTAGTCGATTCTAAATACTCTGTAATGCTGTCATTCTCTTAAATGGTTTTACATTGTTTTGATATACTTAATGCTACAGTATATGAAGTTGTACTCAAGGATTTCAAGGAAAGAGACAATATGGTAACTACTTTTGGGTCGGGATTATCTGGTGGTGAAACACTATTCTGCTTAAATGGTTATATTTTGATCTGCGCTGTTTCGTTGTTATGCCCTCTTTTATCTCAATCTCCACTCCATTGTTTACTTTTTTATCTTTATCCTTTTAATTAAAGGAAAAAAAATAGCAGGATATATTATAGTAACCCACTTTGACTTTCCATTACCTCAATTTAAAGCCCTGTATTACTCTCACCATCTGGTTTTTAACTGATGTTCCCCTATTCTGTTTTGCTGGATAGTATCAGGTTCGAAAGTTTAGGCATCAGCTGTGAAGATAATGAGATTCATTATAACACCCATTCTCATTGACTTTTATCTACTTTTGAAGACCTACAATGTCTCCAATGTTTTGGTTTTGTTGGTTTTATTCTTTACTGTTTTGTTCAATTGTATTATAACTAACGATATAGGCAATTCTATTAGAGATAGCGGGAGGCATTATGGTAACCATTGTTGATCACCTTGTATCATGTTTTTACACTATCTATTATGTCCACCCTTTTGACTTGACCGATTCTGTTCTGTTATGTCACATTTGGTTTTACTCTCTTCCAAAAAAGTAATAAGAACCGTGGGAGCAGTGAAACCCAAAATGTGTAATAGTCATGGTACAAAAGAGAGGAAAAGAAAGTGCTCTAAACTATATAACTGCATGTATATTTAAGTGTATAAGATAGAAAATGATATCACAGAGTTTTATTGGATCATTGAACAGAACTGTTTGCAGTATCATTGATGGAATGTCCACTTTACAAGCTTTAATTTTGTGACTTGAACAATTATTTCTAGGATGACAATATGTAATCCATTAACTAGTGATTTCCTACTGTTCATTTTTTTTTCTGTAAATCTGTATAACTTGTACCCTTTCTCTGCTTTTTTTTTCTTTTCTCCTTAAATAAAAAAAAAAAAAGAAAAAAAAATTAAAAAAAAAAAAATGTTCCTTAGCGCCCTGTAAGCTCATGGCCAAGCCTAGGACCTGTTGGGCTGCTGGGAGAAGGCACCCCACAGTCTTCCAACCACAGGGCTGTGATGTCCGTTGCAACCAAGGCTGCCCTCCCCAGGGAGGCTTCCTGCCATGACTGTGTGAAAGTGAGGTTCCAGCAGGGTCCCAGTGCCCCACAGAACGGGCTGGCCATGCAGGCAGATCTCTTCCTTCCCTACGGGGTCCTCCCCACTCCCTCCCATAGACCCTACCCCCAATAAAACCCTTACATGCTTAGTCCCATTTTCGTTTCTGTCTTTTAGAGACGGGGTCTCACTATGCAGGGCAGGCTGGCCTTGAACTCACAGCAATCCTCCTGTGTCAGCTTCCCAAGTGCTAGAACTACAGGTGGGCACCAACATGCCCAGCCGGCCCCACCTTGCTCCTTCCTGTCTTGGCATCCGGTTGACACATGGCACAGAGCAACACTAACACGAATTTCCCCCTACATTTTGATTTAAAAGATGCAAAGAAATCCCTTGCAATTCATCAAGAGTAAGTGCGTGTTTGGATTGAGTCTGACAACTGGGTGGCTACGTCAAAGCTATTGTGATGAACTGTAAATAAGTCTCCTATATACTCTCCTGCCTCCAGCGGTGAGCACGTAAATATTTGCCATGCTTGACTGAAATGAATAGAAATGAATTCACACACTTTGCACCACACAAAGGACATTCCATAACAAAGACGACTCTAAAAACCTGGTACAGTTCTGACATGTTAACAGTGGATTTCTTAATAATGACTGATGAACTTCACTTAATTTCCCATGTTCTGCCCAGGCCAGGACCGTGGCATATGCCTGGAGTCCAGTTACCTGGAAGGCTAAGGCAGGAGGATCCTTTGAATCTAACAGTTTAAGAGGGCAGCCTAAAGAGCACAGCAAGACCTTGTCCAAAAACGTAGATGCAGTGGCCCAGGCCTCTAATCCCAGTACTAAGTAGGCTGAGGCAGGAGGATCTCCTCAAGTTCAAGGCCAGTGTGGGCTACACAGTGAATTCAAGGCCAGCCTCGACTGCATAGTGAGACACTGTCTTTTGAAAAAAAAAAAAAATTGTGTTTTCCTTTTTAATTTTACCCAGTAAATACTAAATTTTTCATTTAAAAAGATACCTTTCTACAATTTGCAGGAGAAGCAGGCTGAGAAGCCATGTGGTCCAGCACCCACCCAACTCACCCGGCACGTAGATGTAGATATGCCGGCCCTCGACCTCGCCCTCCTCCGGCTCGGTGTGGTTGTAGCAGCAAGTGTACCAGCCGGTGTGGGCCGCCGAGGCGTTGGCCACTTCCAGCACGGCCACAAAAAGGCCGCTGTTGTTTTCTTCGTTTCTGATGTCCACGTCGGGGAACTCTCCCAGAGTCACGGGGTGCTTCCAGATCACTTCGCTCTCCCCGAAGCATCGCAGAGAAAAGGATGAATTGAGCTGCACAACCTTTTCATTCTCATTGGGCAGGATGGAGGGCAGCGAAAGCTGGCAGCAGATTAGGCTCAGTTCTGTCAAAGGAAACGCGCTCTGAATGGGACGCAGCCAGAAAGGACAGTCTCACCCAGAGAACTGAGAGTCACAGCAGCCGCTCCACAAACAAAGGCCATTTCTACCCCCAAATCCGTTAGTCTGGATGCCCATGAAAAGGCCCCCATTATAGCAGCGGCGGCATCTGCTGAGGCAGCAAGTGTTCCAAAGCCTGCAAAAGCCCTGCGGCCCCTCCCTCTGCCCTCGTGCCACTCAGATAGAGAACGGACCTCTGATTCCAGTTCCATATTTCAGGCTCTTATGGGTGACCATAAAATACCCCAAGATGTCCTGGGCTCGAGCACATATGGGCTCTTCATCGTGCACTTCCCCTTACTTAAAGATGGGGACGGAATGCAGGGGAAAGACAGGCCAGCCACCGCACAGAGCAGGTCTGTGCTCCCGCTCCACGCCCTGCAGGCGCTGTGTATTTCTAAGGACTTCCATAAGCCTGGGCAGGACGATGCGGACTTTAATCCACACATAATAAAGAAAATGCAAGAACTAAAATTCTTACGTTCATCAATCTCAGTCTAGCTTCCCTTAGCCACAAAACAGATAGAAGAGACACTGTGACTTAATGATTAACTAGTGGTCTTAGATCTCTCTTGAAACCTAGCATGGGAATCTCACCCTCTTTCAGTAAATGAACACTGTGTTGCTACAGTTTGCTAGGACAATGGCTCTCTGCATCTGGGCCCCCTGTCACCTTGTATAGGTAGGGACACTCAATGGAGGTTCTTGAGACAAGATCTCATTACGTAGTTCAGGCCGGCCTTAAACTCGCTGTGTAACCCAGGCTGGCCTGAACTCACAGCGATCCTCCGGCCTCAGCCTCCCAGTGCTGAGATTACAGGCGTGTGTCACACTGTTTGGCTCTACTCAGTGGAGTTTAGAACCGAAGCTCTAACTCTATGGTCTTGCTTAATTCCACCACACCCATAAGAGCAAGGCCTAAACACTGAGTCAACTCTCCCGACAAGAAAAGCGCTGGTTTTAGTACTGAAATATCTGGTTGATAACTCAGCAAGTCTGACAAACAAGTGTCCCCAAGAGACAAGAGGAGGTAACAGAGTTCCCCAGGGGCCAAACACTCCTCTATGGATTCTACTCCAAGCATGAGACATGGAATTTTTAAGCAAAGCAAGCCTCTTTCATTATGGCACACACAACCTAGCCGGATAGGACCTCCTGGACAAGCATTGTCCACTCTCTGTCTCCTTGAAACGTATCTGAATCGATCAGATCCATGTACCCTAGAGGCCAGGGAGAAAGTTGAGTTATAACTGCGGGTCAAGGCCAGGATTACAGCCGCCCTCAAACTGCCACTGGACTCCTTTTGCAAAGCCGTTACGATGGTACAATAGAGATTAGTACGCAAGTTGGGTGACGCAGTTCAGGAAATGCAGGTCTGTGGTCTCTCTAGGAAATCAGTCTGTTTCCAGGGCCTTCAGGACTACGTGTACAGAGCAGAGGTAAAGCACCCACGGAGCACGGGTCCCCGGGACAAGGAGCACATACCTGTGAGGAGACAGCCAAGGACCAAGACGGCCTGGTGGGATGTCCCCATGGCGCTGGAAAGCTGCAGAAGTCAAAAGACAGAGACAGCGTTAGACAACCAAAAACAACCCTGAAGAAAGAGACACAGAAAAGCCCCAGTTTATGGTTCACAGTTGGTACGGAGAGACATCCAGAGAGAAATGACCAGCTGGCGGAGGGGACTTCCAGGTCAGGACAGGCCTGCAGCTCTCCAGCTCTGGAAAGTCCCGGTTTATAGCGATCTTGGAACAGAGGAGAGCGGTTCCTTCAAACCACTTAAATAAGGGCACAAAAAGTGAGGTAGGGCCTGTGTATTCTCAGAACTGCTAGCCCCTCGTGTTGTCTATCAGTGTGGCCGTCACCAGCATGGTCTTTGACTCACATCCTCTATGACTTTGCTTAGACTGAAACAGATTTTTTTAAGTGTCATCCCATCTAGAGGTTCTGAAACTCCCGCTAAGTAGGTCACTTAGAGCTAGCCTGTGTGACTCCGAGGTCTCTAGGACAGCTGGGCCACACGGGGATGGAAAGTCCAGGAACAGGCCAGAGTGGAGAAATAGGAACAGAAAGACAGCCAAAGGCCACCACGCTCACCAAGACAGGGGATCCCTGTGAGTTTCAGGAACCGACAGATGACCGACTTCCTACAAAATCTGGGGAACAGAAGTAGAGAGAGGGTTCAAATGTCCAGAAGACACAACAGACAAGAAAGGGGAGCAGGAAGAGAAAGAATTGAGGGGCGCAGGGGGTCTTGTTACTAGGGGCCCCTCAAAGGGCCTCTTCCGGACAACTTCCCTTTTCTTTAGCTTGATCTCTTCTCATCTCCCCACATCTCCACGCACTCCATCTTCACTTCCCCAGGAAGTCGGGGACCCACTGAGGCGTCAGAAGGAAGATGCTCGTCTCCCTGGCTGGTGGGGCTCCAAGCCCCGGCCAGCTGCACTCCACACTCTGGCGGGCCCAGCAGGAAGGGCGTGGTGGAAACCCAGAAAACACTGGCACCTGGGCCTTGGCTGGGGAGGCACTGATCCCCCTGCACCGCAACTCACCAAGGAAGTGGCCGAAGGGACTGGACCAGTCACCTCAGACACGGGACGCCCGGATGCATGCACACACTCAAGGATACTGTCTAGGGGAGGTTGGTTTCTGCCTTGTTTATTCCCAGCTGCTTTGTTTATCTCTCTGTTGGTTTGGGCAGGGAGAGGATCACCCAAGTGTAGATTTTGGTGATGTCCAATCAAGTGTTTTTGTTTTACACTGGCCTGGTCCCAGAGATGAGATTTCTGCTTCACTGAATTCTATCAGGAAAATGGAGGAGGAGAAAGGACAAGTGACAGATGGAATTCTTGTGGGGAGGAGCAGGGAAGGACAGAAAAAATAAACTCTCACACACTAAGCCAAAGTCTTATGTGTATGACATTTGTGTTAGGAATAATCCTGTGACATGGTTGTTTTTTAAGAGTAGCAGTTGAAGCCCAGAGAGGTTTAGCAAATAATCCAAAGACACACAGCTAGTAGCATGCCAGGATGCTTACACGGTCTGTGAGAGGCGAAAGCTATACTCCCGCCACCCCACCACATTGTCTCTCAAAGGAAGGTTGGCATTTCAGCCCTGGCCCATCCTCCTGCCCCCACCCAAACACAAATTGGAGTCACCCCCCCTTTTTTTTTCTGCTCCCTACACTGGGAGAACAACATAATTACAGGACGGTGAACCCAAATGCAATTCATACAGTACTGGCTGGCTGCTGGCTTCTGGGGATCTTGGCAGATGCCCTGGGACTCAGGGTGGCAGGCATAGGGGGCCTCCAGAGCCAAGCTGGCTGCCTGATTTACCACAATTAGCAGTAACGGCAGTGTGTTTGTGTATACAAATATCTGCCTCCCACTGATAATCCACTTAGCAGACTTCAAAGCCGCTTCCAGCACCAGCTTGCCGTCTTGAATTTTATCACATTTATATCCTGTGTTTCTGCAGTGAGGCTGGGGGGCGGTGGGTTGGGTAGTGGAGTTGAGGAGACAGGCTTCCCATGTTTGAGTTCCTTCTTTGTGGCACACTGCCCTGGCCAGGCCCCTCCAGGTGTCCTGTGTATCCAGCTTCAGGGACCCCCTTGCTGGCCACACCGGGCTATTTACTGACGGATGATGCAAACTCAGAGCCTCAAGTGTTTTGGCCTAAGATCTCAAACTCCTTCCTGATAAGAGCCATTCCCTGGCTTGAAATCCAGGTGTATTTGTGGAACTTCATACCATTGCTCCTCTGTAACCCAGGCAACTTGGGACAAGGGAAACAGGGGAGGAGGAGGCTGCCCTCACCAACTGCCCTCAGTGGGACCCTCTCTCTGGAAAGCCACTCCTGGTCCTTAACTAGGGACTCTAACCCCAGAGTTCACCCCAAAGAGAGATGCAATTATAAACCAGTGACTGGGGTTACAAACACTGAGGCACTCCTCACTGTAAAGGTTGGCAAAGACAAATCCCTTCGGAGGAAGGACAGGTTTCACCTGGATCTTTGGTTTCTCCCTGTCCCCCTTGTGCTTTACACACCTCCTCAGAGAGACACAGTGCTGCAGCTGCGCCCAAGGAGGACACTTTGCCCATGTCGCTGAATAGTGCTATCTATGGCTTTTCTCAGGTTCCTAAGAAGTGTGCAGGAGAGCCAGAGCAGTGTGGCTTCCACTTCTCCTTGCTAAGCTCACAAACCCTGGAGGTGTGAGGGGAACTTGCCCATGTCTCCTGCCCACCTTTTGAAGACTGTGAAGACTGTGGAGACGGATAGACACAGCCCCACAGACAGAACCGAATCTGACTGCAGCTACCCTTTCCCTGAAGCGTGTCTCTAATCTCATTCCCTGTACACACAAGGGAAGAGCCGCTGAGCCTGGCCGCATTAGCAGGGACAACACGCTAAGCTGGAGAATGCAGGAAGAGCGTGGACAGGACAGGCCCACTTTTAGGAGAGGGGCAGCTGGCCACCCCCGGCGGCACAACACGTCCCACCACAGGACCACTGAGCACTGAGTGCCACCCCACCCTGGCATGATTAAAGACCACTGGAGATTCTCTCACAGTCCCAAAGCCATGGATGACCTCAAGGTTCAGATTTCTGAGGTTCCGGTAATTTCAACTCTCCTAAGTTAATTCTAACTGTGAAAATTACACATCTTGCAGGGCGGGATGGTGCGTGCTTGTAATCCCAGCACTCGGGAGACTGAGGCAGGAAGACTGTTGTGAGGTCAGGGCTAGCCTGAGTTATATAGAGACCCTGTCTCAAAAAAACAACGAATCAAAACAAATAAACATCTTTTTTTTTTTCCTCCGCAACAGTCAACTCCATCTTCAGCCCAGGCAGCCCAGAAGTAGGCCTCCTGCAGTGGTAATTTCCATTCTCTAGCAGAGTGTGCTTCTCAGGAGCTGCACCCACCAGAGCCCGGGCTGTTGTCTGGGTCCCCGGAGGTCCATCAGACATTCCAGTGGTGGGTGGGTGCTGGGGCGTTTCCACACAGGAGCGTTTTATGGGACACTTCAAACTTATAAACCTTCCTGCTCATTCTGCACCAAATGTTCATCCACGGGAGAACAAAACGACCCTTGCTTTTTCTTTTTTTCTTTATTTATGTTTGATTGTCACTAAACTGATGTCCCAAACTGGGCCAGCCCTAGGAGTGTCACCTATGCAATTAAGCACGGGGTTGAAAACATGAAGCTAGAGATACCAGGTCCTCTTACTTATAAACAGGTACACAAATAGCTACCTCCCTCACTCACGGGTCCGCTCGGAATGCAAACGCTTTGTTCATTATCTAAATGTAAAAGATTAAGTTAGGTGGTGGGGTTGGAATGCCCTTCAGAGGCAGGGCAGCTGCCTAGTATGCTCAGGAGTCTGAATTCAATTCCCAAAGCAAAATAAATATGTAGGGCGGAAAACTACACAAACGTCTACAAAACGAATGTCTTCTGTCCAATGAGTCTTGCAGCTTCATAGGAAAGCAAAACAAGCCTTGGCCCCAGTACGTATCTGTTTGGAATCTCCGCGAACCCCAGAGGATCATGAAGTTCTTCAAACTGGCCAGCAGGTGGCAGTGTTGATCCAAGGACTGCGTCCTCGAGCTCACGCAGCCGCCACCGCAGTGAATATTGAGCTAAAATGTCCCAACTCTTACAACTTCTTTCTTTCTTAAACTGTATTTGACGGGTCTGGGTAGATCTCAGTCAGAAGTCGCAGAGTGGAAGCAGAAACAGCAAAACCGCTATCAAGGCGCTTGAACCCCTTGCAGACCCCAGGAGTGACAGGCAGGGTCACCGTCCTCGCCACCGCTGAGAGCCGCCCGCTCCCACCGGGCTGCGGGGCCTCGAAGCCCGGACGACGACGCTGCAAAGGCTCAGCGGGACTCGCCACTCGGGTCCCGCGCGGCCGGCGATCACTCCCCCTCTGCGTGTCCGGCAGCCGGTCCATCCGTCCGTCCGCACACCCTTGCCTCGCGCCCCGGGAGCCCCGCGCAGCCGGGTAAATTGGAAACTACTGTTCCCGCAGCATAATAACGCAGAGTCGTACAACAAACACGTCAGCCACAGGCCGCCCTGCGCGGCGGGGAGCTCTTGCGGGCCCAGAGCGCAGCAGCTGGCGACGGTGCCCTGGAGCGCGGGGAACCGAGCCCTCCTCGGTCGGCGCTCCCTCCCCATGGTTATAAGGACGCCCCAGTTCTCTAGCCCAAACCTGGACTCATCCCCCGGTCGCCCGTCCAGCGCCCCCGGAGTTCCCACATTGCCATCGCAGCGTCCACTCCACCCTCCCGGGGGCGCATCGGGGACCGGGCTGAGCCTCAGCTTGGGACCCCAGGCTTCTAGCCCGACCACTCGGGGCTGGCGGAGCCCGCAGCGCGTCCCGGGAGCCCACTAGAGGGCGCGGCAGCCCCACGGACCTTACCCGGCCGGCTCGTCGCCGCGCGCAGCTCTGGCGCGGGGTCCCCGACAGCGCAGTGGAGACCGCACTCGCAGACCTTCTCCCGGAGGTTCTGAGCTGGCACCGTCCGGCTCCCGGCTCCGCCCCACCCACACAAATACTGCGTGAGCTGCTCCCCCTCCAACCTCCTCCACCGGCTCGGTGGCCGGGTCACCGCGAGATTGGGGGTCCCACGGCCGCACGGACTGCGCTCCAAGCCTCAGAGCTCAAGGAGCCTCCGCGCCCCGGGCACGACGCGCGGCGTTCGCATTGTTTTGCACTGAGACCTGAGAGGGGCCGGGCTGGGTGGAGGGAGGGGGCCGAGCGGGTGGAGGGAGTGGGGCCGGGGGTTTAGGGTTACAGGCGCGCACCAGCGCCTCCTATGGGCCAGAAAGTCGCGCGGCTAAACAAGAAGGCCCGAGCAAGCCGAGCCTGTGCCTCTTTAGCTTGCGAGACTGTGAGCGTCCCCAGTGCCCACCTTGCCCAACGCTCGCCTTTGCCTCGGCTGCCCCGGCGCAACCCAAGTCAGGCCACACGGATCGCTCCCCTTTCGCGGGAGAGGGAGGGAAGGAAACTGTAGCAGGGGATAGCGAAAGAGGCACCCCCAAACAGCGGTCCTCTTTTGTCCCCTCCTGACCATCCACTCTCCCCACCCATCCCTGGTTCACCGTTCAGTTTAAAACAAAAGAAGTGTTGCTTGGCTGGGGTTGCAGTGAGGTCCGGAAGAGCAGTTTGTCCCCGACCCTGCATCCCGAGCTGGGCGCAACGTCGCAAGATCCCTCCGCCCCTCCACCCCGAGGCCGATGCAGGGGGTGGACCCCTCCCCAAGGCTGGGGACGCTCAGAGCCGCACCTTTTCGTGATCGTCCCAGCTCTTAGTTCTTTCCCCAAAACTGCCACTTTTCTACCAGCAACGAGTAACCTGGTCGCAGCTCCCCAAAGGCCAGAGGGAGCCCCACCCACGGGGTCTGCAGGAAGGCGCTGGCCACCACGTCCCCAGGACGCGCACCGCCCACGGCCCGTCCCCAGGAGGCACAAAACGGGCCCGCCTCGGCGCCAGACGCGTTTGCAGCTGGAAAGCCCAGCCCAAGGCCCCTCCCACTGCGTCCCTCCCCAGCCCGCGTCCAGGGCAGAAAGCAGCTTCGGGGTCCAGAGCTACGGCCCGGACTCTGTGTCCAGCTCTGATCTCAGGACGGGGCAAGAGCCGGGCACTGAACACCAGCGACCAGCTCACTCCCGATGCCTCCTCCCCTCCTGTCCCGTCCCCCCTCGCTCTTGTGAACATGGACCAGCTGTACTTGCGTGAATCCAAAACAGGACTGGCCAGAGTGTCAAAGCAGGACTGGACAGGCCCCCGATATTGGGCGTCTGGGAAGGGCTCCTCAAAAAGATTATGGCAAAGAGGCTGCTAAAGGGAAAGAACTGCGACGCCAGAGTTCGGACAGTCAAGATGTGCAGAGGGGCTACGTAAATTCAGTGCCTGCCAGGCCTGGCCGCCCCTTTTTCTCTTCCTGCGGCCCAGTGGGCTTACAGAGCTTTGGGACATTAGTCTGGTGGGATGTGCAATTAGGGACTGCGGTGCCCCGTTTGCCCTCTTACTCCAAAAAGCAACCTAGCTGTGATAGCGACCGTGGCTAAGTGAGTCGGTCCAAAACATTGAGCAATTCCGCCACGGAGCCAAAAAGCCATTTCCCACACCGCCCAGTCCGGGGCTTTTCCAGGCTGCGCGGCCTGGCGCGCGACGGCCGAGACGTGATAGGGACCCTGCACACTCCTTTCTCGGCCTGGGCTCGGCCCTTCCTCGGAGATGGATCGAGTGGCAAGTTCTTTGGGCATCCGCACACCCCGAGGTCTTAGCGGGACTTGAAAACCTATTGCGAGACAGGCGCTCAGGCTGCAGGAGAGATCGACAGCAGACAGATAGCTCAGCAATTCCTTTCTGGCCAAGGCGCAACTGCTGGGCAACTGGCAGCTATGGCACACCTGGCTGCGAGGCCCAGGAGCCCTCCCACTGCATACTCGAGTCGGGCCACACTCCCCATCCCTGCAAGCTGGTCAACACCCTTTCCAAACATAACGGCTGAGGCCAGTTGTTTCAAAGCCAAGTGGACGCCGCCCGCTCCCTTGATGCTGCCGGGAGGAGTTAATCTCATGCAAAAACCCCGATTTCTACGGGGATAGCGATGTAGGAAGGAGGGGCGCATTTAGAGCGTGTGGACGTGGTCAGGGAGAGCAGCATGGAATGGTAGAGAAGAGGGGCGACCAAGGAGGCAGGAGTAGCGTCGGGTGAGCGCGGGCGGCCAGTACCACGCACCTCCCCAAGGCCAGGAGCAAGGGTCCGGAGCTCCTCCACTCCCCGGACGCGGGGTGAGCGCCTTTGGACTCTCACCTTTCTATCTTACCTGAGAGTTCTAACTTCAGGAGAAGGCCAGAGCGTCTCGGGAGACCTTGCCTCTCCCCCGCTGGTGGCCAGGAGAGAGCAGCCAAGGCACAGCTCTCCCCCTCTGGTACGCCTCCCAAAGGAGGAGGCCAGATGAGAGGGCTGGGGGTGGGGACCACCGCACAGCTCGGGCCCCTCGGAGTGCAGCTCGAAATTCCTTAAATCCCACTTGCTGGAATGCGAAGCCACGAAGACTTCATCACTCGGGGCCAAATGTGTTTGTCATTACTGCAGACCATTCGCCTGCGCCGCCGCCGGCGCCCCCGGGAGCGGAGCGCAATCCCAGCGCACTGCAGGGCCGGCGCCCGCTGCTGCTTCTCGCGACTCGCTGACCCGGCAAAAGGCTCCGGAGCTCCCCAAAGCCTCGCCCACGCCTGCGCTCCTCCGCGGGTCCCGCCGCCGCCACCGCGGTGCCGCCTCTGGCCCTGGCTCGCACCAGGCGCAGCGCCGTCCAGTAATTACGCGCGCTTGGTTGGCGCCATGTGCACACGCCTGCACCCGAGGTCCGGTCCACTCCAGCCGAGCCCTTCACACCTCCGCCGCGCCAACCCCTGCTTGCGCCCCACTCGGCGTCCTGCTTGGCCCACCTCTCTGGGTCCCCCAGCCGCGCCCCACACCGCCCGCAGCGGCTCTATCCCGTCAGACCGCCGGCGAGGAATGAAAATACTCATTAAAAACCTGTCGCCTTCCAGGACCCACTGCCAACAAGAAGGCAAACACCTCTGCTCCACCCGCAGCGTTGCTTGGTATTGGCCCAGTCCCCACGGACACCACCCCCACCCCCAAAAAGAAACCTCAAAAATGTACGCCTAAACAATTTCTTTGGAAGGCCATAAGATTGCTAGAAAAACACTACTTTTAAAAATAGTTCTGGAAAAAATTTTTTTTACATTCTCAGCCTTACCAATTCTGTGGTTATCTCCCCACGACATACAAAGGCACCCGGTGAAGTGTATTGCGAATAAATTACTCTCTGGACACACGAGAATTCAGCTCTTTTTCGCTCCTCTGAGGGCCAAAGTTTGAAATTACTTCACTTTATCTAACAGTGGGTTCTGATCAGAGACTTCCTTAGAAACAAAAATCATTTCCCGCTCCCTTACCTTCTCCTCCTATGTCAGTCTGCAATGAAAATCCTATACATGGAGTAAAAAGTCCATCCGAGGCCTCCGGTCCTCTCCTGCAGTGCCCTCCTGTTTCTCTCCCTCTAGCTCCAACTGTAATGGGCTCAAAAACCGCGTTTTGTAATTGATTCAATGTTATAGTCCATCCTTCTAAAACTAATCATTTGCTCTAAGTAAATAGCTGTCAGGAAATGAAGCCCCCCCTCCCTCGCTTGGCCTCTTCAAAATAAAAGTTTTCCTTGAATTCTCAGCGTTCTAAATGTCCAGGCTCCAGATTGCGCCTTCGTATTTCGCTCTTACGCAATCAGGGGGTCCAGTCCCAACCCCCAGACTTCGACAACAACTCGGAGGCGGGGAGAAGCAGACCAGATGGGGCAGGGGTGATGGAAGGGGGAGGTGATGCTCTGCCGGGAAAAAGGTTTGGTGAAACTGCAAACAGCCCATGACTTCCAGAATGAGTTTGCCTCTCAATTTGAGAAATTTTCCCCCTTACATTGCTGTAGTTTTGTATTCTTTATGTAAAAAAGAAAAGGGGCGTGTAAAATTGCAATCGGAATATACATCTGGAATCAGAAAATGTCCTTTCTGTAGAAACCTGGAGCCACCAGAAAGAGCTCTGGGGAGAAATCTCCGAGGGGTTGCGAGGTTTCGAACTAGGAGTCTTGTGGGGAGAGTGCCTGGTGAGGTCGCTAATCCTTTAATGGGATGAGGCAAACTGTTGAGTCCAGGACGAGGATGTTGGGTTTTTGAAAGACAAGATGGAGTCCGAGATGGGACACAGTAAGCGAGGGTCTTTATAGGTGGGGAATTTGGGGACAGAACGACCTTTACTCCTTAGGAAATTCTTATTTTTGTCGTGCCTTTGTTTTCGGGGTTATCTGAGACGAGTCGCCCTGGCTTCTATCTTGCACGACAAAAACCCCAGCTTGGGCATTTGGAAAACTGTCTGCAAGTCTGCACCTCCGCGTGGTGCGGAGGGTGCATCTGGACCCTGTCTGAGTCCCCTCCCGCGGTGGGTCGGACAGTCTGGAGGTCCGCAAAGCCAGCGTTGGGACAGGCCGATTCCGCTGGAGAGCGATAGGGGGCGCTAACGCTCCAGGAACCAGCTCGGGGCGCAGCGGGGCGTCCCAGGGCGGCCGGGGGAGGGGAGCTCGCTGGCTTTCCGCGCTCTAATTTTGAATCCTCTCGTCTCGGGGAGTTTCGGGTGGTGTTTTATAATCCTCCGTCCCCACCTCGCTCTCCCACACACATCCCCCCTCGAATGGCTGGGGTGTCCCTGTTGAGACTGGCACGTCGAGAGCCACCAGCCACCAGCTCTAGGTGCACGGGCACAGGCCGTGGGCAGGCGAGGGTCACAGAACAGCACCCGAGAGGGGAGCCGGGCTGCGGGGTGCCGGGCTGGGCTGGGGGCTCCGTCTCGCCGGCCCGGTGCAGCCGCCTCCCGTGCATCCCCGGCTCGGGTGACGGCACCGCGAGCTATTACTTCCACATGTGCCCGCAGGAAATCATTGGAGGCCAATCTATGAACGGCCCCCTGTCCGGAATGCGAGCAGGATACCGTAATGTTTGTAGATAATGAACAGGCGCTAACACTCCCCTCCTCCCCGGGCTGAGCACTAAAAGGAACACTGGCTTGCGCGCTGTCCTT